GTTTTGCCCGTGGTTCACGCATCTACAAAGTTTCTCCCTGAGTCGCCATCATTGTACTCTTGCACTAAAAGATTCCTTGACCCTGTCCTCCTGTACAGCACCCCGTCCAGTACAAAGGGAACCCACAATCCGCCTTCCACCATCCACACAATCCACACTTGGCGACCATACGTCTTCCCGGCTGTGCACCTCATTATCATTATCATTATTATTATTATTAAAGAAGAGACTACGAATTCCCCAGTCCATCACAACGGGCTCCGTAAACCTTTTTCCACGCACAAGTTCAACTTCACAAGGGGCTGGCCGTTCCTCTTCTCCCTCTTCACAATTAGCACAAGCCGCAAGGGATCTTCTTCTCCTTCTCTTTCTTCTTCTTTACTCCGTACCATCAGCACAAGGGCTCTGGTTCTTGCAAATCACCAAACCACTTTTTCTTCCTATCCCAGAAGGAGGGGAATCGTATCCGAGTACTCGTACTTGACACATACTGGATGCTAGGACTGGATTCTGATCGCTAGGTGTGTACTACTTGTACTACTTATCCACCACCACGACCAGTACTTGCTTGCACCTGCACTTGCATTTGCACTTCTCTCGTCCCCCAGATCTACTAACACACCGAAAACAGACTTTCCTCGATCCAATTATATACGGGACCACATTCCAGTACTCGGTCGTATATTCCCCCCCATCAGCATCAAGCACAATTATAATATACTTTATTGGCATCACGAGAACTCATGAACCTCATCATCACCGTTCATTGAAGATTCCAGCACCATCTCCTTTTCTTATTGTGATTGCGTCTTGATCATTTTATATAAGCCAAGCAAAGTTAAACTTCCCGATTTTAGCCAAACCCTTTTATCCTCTGATTTTTTACACTTTCCACGCATGTAGGAAGACGAGTCGGTACATCTTACGGTACATAGCTACATACTAGGTCCTTTACACGTATAAACTCAAAATCCCACCAACCCACCATAACCACCACCACCACCGAGTCTTTAGTGCTATACGCGAGGACCCGACCACCGATCACCGCTCCCCGAAAACCATAATCCATTATTCTCCCTTGCAGAACAAGAACACAACTTTACCTTTATCTGCACTCTTCCAGAAAATTTCTGAAATCCTCGCAACATACAAAGCTACAGTTCAATCTACGACTCAACTTAATTCCGAACGAGATACGATATACAATATATAGCATACGATATTCGACATTCACTCCTCACGATTCAATATCTTCCCAACCACCTTGAACCATCCAGGTATCCTATCCATCCTATCACTCCAATACTCCGAATTGTCTCTCTTCAATTGCGACTCGCGAATCGCGAATCTTGCCCGCTTTCTATCTTCAGTCCTAAATTAAGAAAAATCCCCGCCGCCACTCAAAATAGAATAGACGATAAGTGATTAGAGCAAGCAATTGTGTCGATCAAATCGATTAGGATGGATTCACGTCCGCCATCAACTAGAATGCCCACTGGGCTGGCTGAAGTTTTAAATGAAGTCGGCCCTGAAGAGCGCATGAGAGACTCTGCTTATTATTCAAATCTAGATTCGTCATCGAAGCGTGAGTCTTGGAGCATTCTCTTCAACATGCGCTTCTAACAGCTTGCTAACGAATCCCTCCCAATTTAGATAACTCGCAACAATTATCGAACGGCGAAGTCATCATGGCCCCTTCGCCAACTGGTTATCATTCCTCCAGCGCTGATATAAGCCCCTCACCCGCAGCAAACCACATTGCCAGTCAACAGCTCACCTCTCCAACTTCTAATGGCATGAGCGTCGCATCTATGGTCTCTCCATCTTACGAACATTCCATGGCGAGTTCACTACTGTCGATGGGCCAGTCAAATAGACAATCATATGGATCTGGACTGGGAGCTTTTTCAATGAACGGAGATTCCCGTCGGGAGAGTGTCGATTCAAGATTGGGGTTTCAAGAGTTGCGACTCAATTCCCCATACGCCAGCAACAATCAATCAACCACCTCTATCCAAAGCACTTTGCAGCAGCAGCGCAACCCTGGGAATGCCGCCGATCGCTTGTCAAACCCGCGATTCTCGAACAGCTATCAACCTCAACGTCTGCCCGAGCCAACATCCCCCAGAAGTACAGTCCCAAAGACTGCTCCCAAGATTACTGGTCCTGCCATGTCTAGTATTGCTCGAGCTGCTGAGCCAACTAGGGGAGAAGCCTGGGCGTTTCCTGAAGAGCCAATCAGAATATCAAACTCACACGACCGCCATGCCGAGGACAGCCAGAGCATAAGTAGGGTTGGTACTTCGTTCTTAAATCTTGACTCGAGACGTAGTAGTATGGCAGACTCGGTCGCAAGCAGCCAATACACCACAGAATCTCGTCTGCCAGCTGGACAGAGAAGGTTAGAAGATGGAGTGTCGGCCGAATTCAGATCATCGCGAGCCTCATCTGAGTTTCAAAATGTATCACATCACCATCATTCTTTACAAAATCGCCAAGTTTCTGATTTACAAGCTGAAGATGCCGATTCTCCAAACAATGGGCAACCCTACAGCCGCACACCTGAACTTCGTGTGAGCCATAAACTTGCGGAAAGAAAGCGTCGAACTGAAATGAAGGAATTGTTTGAAACCTTGAGGGATTTGATGCCTCAAGAGCGCGGTAATAAAGCTAGCAAGTGGGAGATATTGACAAAAGGTATTTGATTCGAATACCACCCATTGACTATGTACTAAGAAGATTAATATAGCTATCGCCGAACACCATACACAGACGAAGGAAATTCAAGATTTGAAATCGAGGCTTCACAACTCACAACTAGAGAATGAAAGTCTTCGCCGTGAGAACAATGTCATCCGCTTGGAGAACTCACAGCTTCGTAACGAAGTAAATCAAGGCGGTTCCAATAATCACCAGTCTGTGATGAACGGCTTCACTCCAATACCACAGAATGGCGGTCAACATGTCAACATGAATGCATACCAACAAGAAAATTATGCTCCAAGAGGCTCTTATCAACGCGAGGAACAATTACCACCACTTCGTGGAATATCACAACCTGAATCCATGAGTGGAGTTCAATATCAATCGGATTTAAACCGTAATGGTTATCGTGATCCTCGATTCTAGATCAAGTTCAAATTATTCGGACGATCTACGATATGCTTTCTCGATAACATTTGCGACAAAGTTTTTCAATCCAAAAGGGTTTGACCTTTATCATAATTTACCAGCAATTATCTCTTCTACATGTCTCTCGCCTTTGAAAATTCACTTCCCCCGTCACGAAGATCTCTTTTTAGCGATATTATACCCAAAAGCGTTATAAAAATCCGATTGAGACCGAGCTTCGCTCTCTGTTACTTAATAGCTTTTCTCGAGCATACCTATTCTTCCCTGCTTCTCATCTATCTATCCACGAGGCACGTGTTCTATTAGAAAACCGGTTGGCGTTTTACGTTTTACTTCACAGTATCTATATTTCCTCTTCTTCTTGGACTCGTCAATTATTTGGCGTATTTTCAATATCTTATTACATTGAATGAATAAAGTGGCCAATATGGCACTTTTATCTCTTATACAAAAGTGGAGCGTACATTTCTCGTGCGTCGAGGAGTTAACAGGGGTTTTTTGCATTTCTGGTATGGAGCGGATGGGAAACTGCAATATCCGGGTGAATAAATCAAATTCGGATTTTATGGGTGGGCGATGATATGGAATATGGGAGATACCGATTCTACGAAAGAGTGGAAGAAGGCGTTACTTGAATATACCCGCTCTCATCTTGGGGTTTCTATTACTATCTCGCCTTTTTGAAAACCATTTCAAATTTCAATGTTCGATCGTCTTTGATTGAATCAATTGGGAATGGGAAACTGGAAAGTTGGATAGACAGAAATTTTGTATGGACAGGATGAGATAGCACAAATTACTTGGGCGCTGCGATTTTTGGACTTTTGGGCCTACTACATTACTTGAATTTTGGAACGCATGAAAGGGTGGCACGTCTGCGCATGTATGGATGGATTGGATGGGAAGATGAATGGTTGGTTGGGGATGAACTGTCAAGATAATGAACGTCGCCAGCCAAGACAAGAATAGAATGGATGACATTTGTCTGAACGATTTCAGTCACTGTCATTGCTTTTAATTGTTGCTATTGAGTGTCTGATTTGCGAAGTGCGATGTTTGAAATTTTGTTCTATGGTGTGAATAATCTAGTAGGTATATATAGTTCTTTTCCTTCAAGGGGATGAGGGTTGATGGTCTTCGAATAACTGACTAGCTCGGAGGCTTCTTCTATCTGATACGTTTAAAGTCTCTCTGGCAATTTCCATATGGATCCCACCGCATAGCTCAAGTGAGTATCATGAGGGTTTCTAAGGAGGGGATGAGAGGGGAAATGGGAAAGATCGAGGTGAGTGATTACGATCTTGAATGAATTGTATCAGTAGAGGGAATAGTGGTATTTGATAAATAGAAGGAAAGGTAGGTAGGATAGGGCAATTGAATTGATAAAGTAGTGGAAAGAAGGAAGGAGGAGGAGAGGAGGACAAATGAGGGGGTGAGTGAGCGGAAGGTGGGATGAATAGTGGTATGTGGGGGATGGGTGATGAAATGAAACGATATTATATCCCTCTAAGACGGAATATCAAAGATGAAAGGGGGAAAGATGTTATGTCATGTCATGTCATATCATGGGAGAACAGTGGAGGTATGAAGTTGTGGTTCGCTTTTGTCTTTTTGCTTTTTCTTGGAGAGAGAAAGGGGAGGAGAGTAGATCTGAAGTCTTGATAGGGAGGGAGGGAGGGAGCAAGGGAGGTTATTAAGATCTGGAGAGATGGATTTGATAATGAAGTTATTGTTCATTGTTTTTTTGCTAATATGGATGTGGATGTGGATGTAGAAGTAGATGTAGATGTCATGATTCAGAGATCTGGTTTCATATTCATCTGATGTTGGGAGGAGTCGGGATGCGTGATGGATTTACTTACCTAGGTATGGCAGACATGGTATTTGGATGGACGCATAGACGCATGGCCTCGCCTTTCGCATTGGCTTTGGTTAGGATGCTGGTTTTGGGATTGGGGACGGAGATGGGGATGGAAGATTCTTATTTAACTTCTGAGTCCCGTAGGTAAGTAAGTATGTATAACGTACGATGTTGATGAAAACGTAAGACTTGGATTTTTCTCAGCGGGGTGGATAGATCAAATCGAGAGTTGAGATATGTTGCGCATGGTATATTGAGGGGGTATTTCTTTTAGTTATCTTTTTATTTTTAGGAGTGCGTGGTGCCATTATTTGCATGGTGAAACGTGATGGATGGATGGGGTTGCGATGCGAGGTTTGAGGTTTGGGATTTATTAGGACTTGGGACTTGGGACTTGAGAGATTAGGAGGCTGTGACGTCGATTTTTTTTTTCCTCTCTCGCGATTCCTGCGATTGACGTCAAGGGTAATGCGGAGAGGGGAAATGGTAGTGTCGTCTGATCATTAGGGCTGTGATGGTCTTGGATGGATATCTAAGTGGACATACCTACCTATGTCTGGAAATGGAGATGGAGATGGAGATGGCATCTTTCGTCATTCGATCGTGCTGGGATTATTAGATGAAATGGGGTTTGCGAGGTTAGAGGGAAAGGGGAAGTGTATTTTCTCTTTTGCTATGGGTGATCATCTGGATGGTCAGGTCTGGTAGATATGATGTCATGTTCTGGGCTTTTTGGACTGCGAGTAAGGGAGTGAGGAGGTATGTTGTGCATTGTGCATTGTGCATTGTCCGTTGTCATGACTTCAATGTGGAGCGGGGAAAGAGGGGGAGAAGTATGCGCGATGGATGGAGGCTTGGGAGAGGATGATTGATGAATATATATACTTGTATGTGTATGAGTATATATATCATGAGGAATTCCAACGGAGAGGAGATTCATTCTTTCACATCAGAGCAGATTATTAGTAAAGAAATTTCTCTTCTCTTCTCTTCTCTTCTCTTCTCCTTCTTCTCTTACATATTCTACAAACACCAGATACAAGATACAATATCTCTAAAACAGCTTCCTTATTACATTCCACAACATCTTCAATCACTTTTCCCAGAACTCTATCTACATCATAAATTCCGCACCGTCAAACCCATCCCAAAATGTATACCAAAATCTCTCAACTCACAACCACTCTCGCTATCCTCTTCACTCTCACCACCGCGCTTCCAGCTCCTCTAGACACAAATACAAAAACATCGTCTTGCTCTACCGCCACGGTCGATTCCACATGTATCGATACCTATAATACCTGCATGACAGCCGCATCTGGCGATAATGACGCAATCGCAACTTGGTAAGTGTGCTTCTGTTTCAATACCTAGTAATAATAAGAAGTCTAAAACTAACGGAAAAATCAATAGCGCACTCAACCTCTCCACCTGCACAAGCACAACCGCGAAACGAGATGCAGAGAACACAGAGAAGAGGGTAGCAACCGTGTGTACGAATGGAGCGTGGGGAAGTGTGGCGTGTGTGGGAGCGTTTGGAATGTGTATGAAGACGGCGGATGGGGCGGGCGAAATTACAAGTTGTGCGTTGGCGTTGAGTGCGTGTGAGGTGGGGGTTAATACGAAGTGAGGGAGAAGAGGGGAATAGGAGGGAGAGGGAAGGAGATAGGTGTCGAAACAGATGGGAGGGGAAAGAGATGGGAGGGGAAAGAGATGGGAGGGGAAAGAGATGAGATGGAGAATGGGAATGATTGAATGGAGCAAGAGAGGAGAGGGAAATACAAGGACGATTGATATGTATTATTTTGTAATTGGATTTAATTTGACTTTCAAGGAGATGAGGAACTGTACGGATAATTATATGCTTGTAAGTATGTATGTATTTCAATCAACCCATTCATATGCATCCAACTTCCAACCGCGCCAATCTCGCTACTTGACATCGTATCGCATCATATCAATTCCAAAATTTGCAGCAATTTACCAAAATAACTAACTTGAAGATGAATCTTGACTACCGCTTTTCTTCTCGCTTCTCAGAGTCCATACTTAGGTACCTACTTACTAAGCCACATCAACCAATATCACAAATTCAAGAAGGAACTTCAAAATAACTAAAGTAATCTGTGGGGTTCCCCCCTTCTGTCAATCCTCCACCGGGAACGTAGATCTTGTTTCCGACGGCTACTGCAGATGTGCCGTGCTAGAGGGGGAAAGTGGATGTTAGTATGCGTTGTTATTTTAGAGTTAGGGTTGACTCAAGGGTTTAGGGAGAGTTCGAGTGCAACATCCAAGAAAAATAAAGAAACAAAAAGAGGGAAGAGAGATAAGAGAAAGAAAGAAAGAGCCCGGCAGGATGAAAAAAAAAGAAGACAAGCAAAATCACAGACAAACATAACATCTCAATTTCCCCAGAATCAATCAACCACAAAGAAAGAAAAAGCACACAAACATACCCTCGGAACATCCATCGGCGCATAACTCCTCCACTGATCCTTCTGCGTATCATACGCTTCATTCTGCCCAAAAATGCCACTCGCACTCTCCTTATTTCCCTCCCCCCCCATAACAAAAATCCTCTCCCCCACCACCGCACTCGCTACTCCTCCTCGGGGGGTCACCATCCTCTCCTTCTCACTCCACTCCCCCTTCTGAAAATCATACATGTAATTCGTGCCCACCACATTATCGTGCCCAAATTCCCTCCCCCCAATAACATACAACGGGCCATTATCCCCGAGAAACCCCTTTCCCGCATGATCTCTCGGGCGCGGCAGCGCAGGAAGAGAAGTCCACGTCTCGAACCCGGCGGTGTACGCGGTGAAGTACGAGACGCTGGGTTGGTAAGTTTCGGAGATATTGAGATAGGTGAGACCGCCCGCGAGATAGATGGTGTTGCCGCGGCGGGCCACGGCTGCAGCGCCGATCTGGAGTCCGGAGGGAAAGGAGGTGGAGAGTTGGGTCCAGGTGTTGCTGCTGGGATCGTAGCGGTAGCAGGAACGGTTGGCGAGCCAGGTGTCGGTGGAGTCGGGGGTGAGGCCGCCGAGGAGGTAGATGGCGCCGTTGAGGATGGCGGCGTTGGCGTGGTTGAGGGGGAGGGGAAGATCGGCGGCGCGGGACCAGGTGTTGGTGGTGAGGGAGAAGCGCTGCATGAGGGTTGTGGTGGGATAGGGATCGGTGCTGGGGTTGGAGGTGGAGGGGATGATGCCGCCGAGAATGTAGATGTAGGGGTCTAGATACACGGTTGTGTGTTCTTGGCGGGGATAGAGGGGGATGGATGGGAGACGGTGCCAGGATCCTGGATTACTGGTGAGGTTGGCGTCTGTAGGAGATTGAGGGAGAGCGGCACTGAGGGTGGAGAGTGCGAGAATGATGGAGAGTGAAAAGGAGGGGAAAATCATCGTGATGGATTGATGGATGTGCACTGCAGTATATACTCAAGATACACTAAAGAATTCAGATCTCATATACGAAACCAAGTGATGAACTTGCGCGTCTGGTCTCAAACTGTGAGTTTGTAGACTTTCAAAAATATAAATCGGGGGCAGCGAACTTATAGAGTAAACAAAACTGGCACTACGTTCTAACACAAATTCAACTCAACATTCCCGATTGGGCAATTGCCGTCCCCTCAACAACCTGCAGACCGTGTAACTAAGCAACGTAATTGATCGACCATTGACCAATCCATTTTTACCCTGCTGTTGAACATATGCAGGTCGCCATATCAAAAACGGTGATACGACTGCGAATCAAGGATCGATGATGCCAAGATAAGACTCGGTGAAGCTCGTATCGCATCGCATCTGCAAGATATCAATAGTTATCAGATGTGCGACCCAAAATATGCAGAGATGTTTTAATTATAATCTTTTCCCCATGCATCGATAAAGAGTCCTGGCGACAGAGCGGCGTATTCGTAATAGCGAACATTCATATGTTCCCTTGTATATTCATACATTGAACGAATACAATTGGAAGTATCACTGACCACTTCTAATTATTAAACCTATATTCATCTTGTGATAGTCATTATATCCACTCAAATCTCTTCCTCTGATCAACTTCCCTCATAAACGCCTCCCTCCCCACCACCCAACTCCTTGAGTCTTATTACCTCTCCCATCCTTCCTTTCTCCTCTAAATCTTTCCTCGATATCTTACACTTTGCCGTATATTCGCACTTCTTTCCACCTCCAAAAAATGTTTCATCCGGACAACTATGGCCCCATAGCTCCAACACGAGTACCCAGACTACCAATCCAGTGACAGTGGAGATGAGTGTGAGGGAATTCAGGGATGAAAGAGGAAGACATATGAGGATTATGCAGACAATGAGACGATTGAGCAGGCGGTAGCGCTTGGCAAGTCGAATGCCGTGGTGGTCTTTTTTATGGATGTGGCAGGCTGATATAATACCTAAAGAGAAAAAGTCAGTTGCGAGAATGAAGAGATGTAGAGCACCAGTGGGTGCATGGAACGACGGGACACTTCTCGACTTTTGAAATGTTTGACAAATTTATTCATCAATTGCTTGATATCATAATCTATCTCTTCATTGCCCAACTCTAATAAGATATTGTAACAATTGCTAAGATATACAAATCGATATGTCAAGAAATATTTCCAAGTCAATCTTTGTAGTGTCCTGCCAATCCGTGCACCACTGGTGGAGAGAGTGGAAGAGAGTTCATACCCATACAAAAGAGTGCAACACCGAAACCGACACAATAAAACCAACGCAACCCATGAGAAACTTCAGATTCAGATTTCTCCTGGTATGCTTCCGTGAGACTCTCAAGAGAAGTATCACCACAATCTCTCGCAACAACGAGTCTAGAAAGTGCAGCACCACCTAGAACATAACTCATAATAAAGGGTAAATGTGCAAACCCCCAGATGATAGAAGCCTTAACATCTCGTCGAATAGCATGCGTAAATAGATCCGTACCGTCCAAATCAAAATATATCCAATTAAAAACAAAAGCTTGAATGAGCCCCAGAACAGCTTTTCCAAAGAATGCATTTAACCCAAATGACGCTGCGTTTTGATAGATAACAGCGACAACTGAATAGCCAAAGACCAATGTCACAAACGCGTTTGTTCGTTCGGTTTTATGTTCGATATTTGTAGCAGGGTAAAATTCAAACACTCGATCAGTCCACTCGGCCAGTCTAATTGAGATGAATTTAGAACCTCGAACGAGGAATACTACACCTGCCGTACCGGTTAAATCTATGAGTATGGCAATAGCAATAATGGCGAATCGTTGAGGTAGATCGACGTAGATGCTTCCTATCCAAAGGATACTGGGGACCAAAATAATGATGGCTTGGGCTATTAGCATGCCTCGAACCATGGGTATAAGCCAAGCGAGAAATAAATAATATGAACCCATGAAAAGACGAGCGGTTAAATAGAATGCTACTAGCATTGTGTATGACTTTTCGAAGGCTTCCAACATATTTGTGGTGAGGCTGTCCAAGATTAGCATGAATATAGACGCGCAACGACGAAAGCATATAGAGGGCAGTATCAGAAGAATCTACGACTTCACTCACCCAAGTAAGCACGCCATGACAAACAATATTGAGACTCTTTGAGCTATATCATCGGTCTCGAACCAAGAGATAATGAGTGTTAGATCACTCCAGATCTTCCAACTCATGATGAATGTTATGAAAAATCTTAGGAGCTCATATCCAGTGGGACTTTCAGCGGCATGGTCTCCATTTATAGCGAGAATACCAACGTATAATAGGTCCACAAAGAGTTCAAATGATGCTACTTCAGTAGTTCCTGATGCTCTCCATAATAAACCACGGTGAAAATATTGCCTGACAGTAGGCTGAAATGTTGTTAGTTCGTCAGTATACAAAGAGGAAGGAGACAAAATGAGTGAGTGTTCAATGTCCATATCAATGTCAGACTTTACCTTTTTATATAGTTTCATAATTCTCCCCTTTCTCTTTTCCGCTGCCCAATCTTTCTTTTCATGATCATCAGGCCCGTGATACGATGAGCTCGCCCGACTGGTATGTTCCGACCCATCATCATAAGTTCTTAAATGCGCACTATACCCATACTTCGAAAAATTCGCATCCAACGCCACGGAATGGTCTGTCAGCATATGAAGCTCTGAGCCCAAGACATCTAGTTCTAATTTCACATTTTCGAATTCATCATAAGCGTCACCGTGTTTATCTTTTAGTGCCCGTCGCTTAGATTCATGATGACTATGCGCGGTTCGAAGCGCGTCGAGATGTTCAGGAGATCCGTTGATCACGAGATCAAAAGGTTGATCTTTTTCTATGATGCTGAGATGTCGACGAAGGAGATCGGCCTCTTCTGGAGAAGGCGCTATGTGCACTTTTCGGCCATTGGGAAGCATGAAATTGCGGAGTCGATGACCTCTATGGTGATGACTGCGGGGAGTGGAAGTCCCTGGGGAGATTGGGGTTGTAGACATCTTCAACATAGGTATGTGAATTGCGTGAAAGATAACTTAGATTTGAGTATCGTATTGTTCTTCATACAGATTGATACTGTCAGGTCCTTATGTGGCTGCTGATGCCAAGAAATTGTGGCTTGAAATGAAGCTGGCCGATAAAAGAATCGAATCAAACAGCGCCCGTTCAAAGATACTGAAATATCATACTCAAGCAACGTTCTCAATTGTCATCCAAAGTCCATACTGACAGAAGCGGAAGATGAACAAGTCGATTAGTTGACATAAAAGACCATGTTTAGCTTATATTAAAACACAGCCATTTATTAAGATGAGAGGAGAGGCATTGACTAGGGGCAAAGGAAAAAGGACCAAGCGTTTGATCACCAAGCTTAGTAATAACATTAGCTTCTAGCTCCCTGTTCTCTCCCTGGGGAATATCATAAGGCGTTGAGGAATTACATGAATTTACTCGTTAAAAGTTATCGAGTTCCTTGTTTGTTACTCTGGTATCCAGTATTTCGATTCAGCTATGTGTTCCAAAAAAAGAGCAGAAGAGACTCAAGAGGTACGATTACTTCGGATTAGATGGAATCAGATTTCGGATCCGGAGTGTTGGGTCAAGCATCAAGAAGAACAAGAAGCGAAGAAATAAGGGAATGAGACTTTCAATCCACTTTAATTGGTCACTTCTGGAAGGGAATTTCAGGCCCCTGAGAGCTGAGGACTCAGGAGACGTCCGTTGTTCGTGATGATTGCTGTTCCCACTTCGGGCTGTATTGTCTGCTATTAACAAGGTTCTTTCAATCAAATGGCCAAGGAAAAGGAAAATGAGATGATCTTGATAGGAAAATTGCTTGGAAAATGAAGATGATTGGTTTGAATTATAGCTCGACTTGAAAATAAACCTTGAAAATAAATTAAATTCTATGATTATAATTCACACCCAGCCAGCCGGGTTTTATCCTCACACCCATCTAATAACCCAAAATTCATAACATCATCTAAAAACTACACAGTTTACTCTTTCCACAAATGGCTCTCGCCAACATCTCAATACTGCCACTACTCAACAATTCCAAAACCTGTAAATTGGCCTCAAATTCCCTCGCAATGGAATTCCTCACCTCAATCGCTACCAAAGAATCCAATGCATAGTTTGATAAACTTCGTGTAACATCCATATCTTCTGCTTCCAACATCAAAACACAAGGTAAAATATGTAATAATCCTCGCGTAACGGCTTCCTGCGCTTCCTCAATTGTGGTGGCGCTCTTAAGTGCGGCATTGAAGGATATATTGGCTGATGGAGAATCGGAGAGAGATGATGAAAGAGCTTCGTGGGCGAGTCGTAGATGTTTGAATTTGGCATCGTTAGTCCAAAAAGGTGGCGGAGTGGTGATACGCATTCCTGTTATTGTGTGATTGTTACATGTACTAGCCAAACGACCAGTAATGGCAGCCCCGAGAAGTGCTAATACCTCTGCTTCGCATATAGTGTCACTTCCGAGGTTCTTGCTTACTTCGGCTGCTGCGTCGACGTTTTCCGCGAGATATCCGGCGTCAGACACGGCGGTAAGATCTAGGGATGAGGCAGGCAATCCTTGAGCGAGACGGTATTGCACAAATGCATTTAGGAATGTATTGGCCGCAGCATAGGAAGCTTGACCTCTGTTTCCAACTGCACCGGCGGCAGAAGAAATAGCGACGAAAAAGTCCAATGCTTGTGATTTAAGAGCATTGTGGAAGTTCCAAGCACCTTGGACTTTAGATTCAATAACCGAGGTATATTCTTCGTATGTCATTTTTTCGAATAGAACATCCTGCTTATGTTAGCTATTATAAAACATGATTAGACGATTGTACTTACTCGTAGGACCATAGCTCCATGGATGACACCTCTGACTTCAGGCATATCTGTAAGCTCATTCGTGACCAAATTATTTACTGCCTCGCTGTTCGACACGTCACAACGTCGAATCACAATATTGGCACCAACAGTACTGAGATCATCAACCATCTTCTTAACTTCTCCAGTGACAGAGCCATTTCTTGACACAAGAACAAGATGTTTGGCACCTTTGCTGACCATCCATCTAGCCATACTTCGGCCCAAGCCACCAGTTCCTCCGATGAGAATATATGTGGCATCTGAGCGAAGTATCTTGCTTTTCTTATCTGCGGGAGTGGCCTGTGATATTGTTAGTATTTTTTATGGCAGTGTATCTTGAAAAAACTAACCTTGACCAAATTATCTGGCTCCGGTGCAATAATTAATTTCCCGTCGAATTTTGCTGATTGCAATGTTTTGAACGCTGTCTCAATGTCCGAAATTGAGAAGACTGTGGTGTTGATAGGCTTGATGGAACCCTGAATCAAGAAGCTAGAGATCCGTGAGAGGACGGCGCTCAAAGTTTTAGGTCTTTCAGTGCCCAGAGATATCAAGTCAACGGAAGAATAACTTCTGTTGGTTCCGCTTCCAAGTTTTGGATGATTTTCTTGTTTTGCGAGATTGATGAAACGCCCAAAGTTGCTCAAGCACGAAGATAACTCTTGGAGCGTATCTGTATCTGTTGGAATACAATTCAACACGATGTCAAAGTTGCCTCTGTGTGTTTGTTGGAGATCTTTCGGTCCGAACGAAGTATTATGGCTTACGACTATCTCCTCTTCAGAGAGACCATACGTTGATTTGAGTAAATCTTTCTTCTCGATGCTACCAACGGTTACAAAAATCTTAGCACCCATGTTCTGGGTAAGATTGATAGCTGCTTGCCCAAATGCACTGGATCCTCCATGAATCAAGACAGTATCATCTGGAAGCAATCGTCCGATATCATTCAAACCATAGTATGCAGTGCAAAATGCCACAGGAATTGATGCACCAACCTCGAATGATATATCATCATTGATCTTAAAAGCAGCAGAAGAATCCAAAAGAGCACGGCTAGAGTAGACTCCTTGAGATACTGCAATTCCTGAAATACGATCGCCCTCGGCAAAGTTGGTAACACGACTACCTGTCTTCGTAACGATACCACTGCACTCGCAGCCAAAGCCGTCATAATCAGTATGCCCTGAAACAGCAGTAAGATCTACTGAATTCATGCCGATTGCTTTAACCTCAATCTCAATCTTGCTATCTTCTATAGATTCCTCCGGTGATGCATCGATGAAGTGAAGGGTTTCAAAAACACCTGGTACTGAGATGGCCATCTTCAATGGTCGATGTTCCTGTCCAAATTGTGTCAACTCCAAAGCAGAATCTTTTGTTTGTTTGTGAACATATTCGTTCAATTCTGAGTCATTGATGATACGTGGCGTAAAAAATACACTCTTTCTCTCCATGAATTCCAATTCGCAGTTTGCGTCAGCTTCTGGATCAAAAACACTTTTGAAGACTTTGAGAATAGCGTTGGCCGTGTTCTCATCAGAAATAGCACTTTTTGGATCTAAGTCTAAGGTTGAAAATTTCAGCATTGACTCGGAACGAATACTTCTGCTTAGACCAGTGACCATGTTGGTAGTAGGATTAGATGAATCACCATATGCTCCTCTGATCACCCAGAGTACTCCACGAGATCCAATCAATGCTTTTTGTAACGCAAGGAATTGGGAACATGTGAGTGTTGACAGCAATGGTTTATCAAGCTCTGAAATGATCAGACAGAGCTTTTCGGTTGTTTCAACCTGAGATAGAGCACCCATCTCGGGTCTTTTCCCGGTCAAATGCTCTAGAGACTCGGTCAATCTGGTTGAAAGAGCTATTTGTTCATCCGAACTCTCATGGATAATGACGATGCCTTCGGATGCATAATCGTGGTTTTTTACTTCAATCGTTGTACCATTTACTGATCCATTGGATGCCTCTGATACCCCATTTGAGGCACCATTTTGTTCCGTAGAGATTGAAGACTCAAATACAGGCTCCCAATCTAGTTTATAACAAAGCTCCCTGTGTATGTCATTCTCTGAATTTGAATTCGTTTCTACGATTGGTGAAACTGTTAAATCGCGAATTGTAATCAGTGGAGCTTCTGATAGGTCATTGTCCACGGCAAACATTGAAATATTGGTGGGCTTGGGGTAACCAGATGGAAAGGTACCCTCACAGAAGGCCCGAAGGGATGCACCCGGACTTCTCATGAGTTTTGTTATTTCTCGGGAAATAGTGATTTGTCCAACAGATGAAGGCAAATAGACGGTATCCAATGAAGTCTTTCCGGCGTCGATGATTGGCCAATACATCTCGATGACTTGCTCTAGTAATGCTGGATGAATTATCATATCTTCTTGATGCTCCTTTGGCATTTCTTGCTTGGTGTCTGGAACCACGACATGTGCCATGGAGGCGTCTTCACAAGCGAAGCAATCATTCATACCTTGGAAACTCGATCCATATGAAACACCAATATTTGAAAGCGAATCGTATAATTCGGATTTGTTGACGGTACTTGTTGCTGCTTCAGTAATCTTTGCGATGCTTGATTTCATCTCAAGTCCAAGATCGTGATTGCCTAGTCTAGTGGCTACTATTCCCTGGCAATGCAAGGTCCATCCTTTATTCGCAGCCCACGAATGAATTTTGAACTCGTCCCAAATATCAGAAGCACAATTTTCTGGTGTACGGGAACGTAGCTGAAGAGTAATTTCGACAGGCTCTTCAGTAAGCATAAGCGGCTTGGTGACGGAGACATCGCGAAGCTCGAAATTGTCGTACTGAATATTATTAGATGCTGCTCTCTGCGATGCCGCTTCGATTGCTATCTCAATGAAAGCAGACATGGGGAAAAGGGTTAGGGATTGAATTTTATGGTGCCGAAGCCATGGAACATCATCGATTCGAAGGATATTTCTCCAAGTTGGCTCCAGATCATTCGAGTAATTGGCTAGGGTACCTAGAAGATCATGACGTTGAGCTGTGCGACTTTTGTGTTTCTGAGTCAAGCGTGGTTCATGCCAGTATTTTGTTGTGTGGTTCCAGGGATATCGAGGCATGTCGATCAGTAATGAAGGAGGATTAAGAGGGGGAGTAATATTGATAGCGCCAAGGTTAAGAAATGCGCCTTTCGTGAATAACGTTGAAGCCAAATCGATTGCTGTCTCTACAGCATCCTTCTTCCTCACAAGCGCAGATGCATAAGGAATTTTCATTGCATCCTTCCCACAAGCCTTTAGAATCTGCTTGATTGGGCCAGCGAGGGCTGAATGAGGCCCAAGTTCAATGAGTATATTCACACCAGTTTTATGTCCATCACCTGGTGCACACATATCCGTCAAAGCTTCAGAGAATCGAACCGCTTGTGTCAGATTATCTACCCAATACTGGGCCTCAAGTCTTGATCCTTCAACGAGATGACCAAGTAATGAAGAATGAAACTTGACATTTGAAGTTTTGGGTGGAGCAAGAGACTGAAGGCAGCCTCGGTAATCTTTTGAGACCAAGCTCATGTGATGAGAATGATAAGCCACATCCACTTGTAGCTTTCTATTGAACATTTGTTTCTGTTCCATCAATGCTTGAAGTTCGTCGATTGCCGGCTCGTCTCCTGAGATAGTCAAACTAGACGGACTGTTGAAGCAAGCTATACGAGCTGTCTTTGCGCTAAGTTGATCGATGAGTGGCTCCATTTCTTCCTTAGTACAGCCTACAGCCATCATTGATCCTCGAAGATCTGGAAATTTCTTTCTTAATCCAACAGTCGCTAGACCTCTGTAGTATGCAATGGCCATGCAGGAGTCGAGGGGTAAGATTCCAGCTGCGTATGCTGCTCCAATTTCACCACTGGAATGACCAGCGACGGCTGCTGGAATTATATTCCAACTCCTTAATAAATCAGTCAAGGCCAACTGGATGGCTGTGCATGCAGGTTGACTTATATGGGCTTCATTGATAAGCGATGTTGTGGCATCTTTATTTAGTTCGGTGATGAGGGAGAAAGGAGCCCCAAATGAAACGAGGCATTTGTCACAAGCATCTAGGGATGCAGCGAAGACTGGATAATGTTCATAAAGCTCCCGGCCCATTGCGTTCCATTGAGCACCCTGTCCGGTAAATATGAATCCTATACGCAGTGGCTCGATCTCTCTCATTGGAGTAACTTTCCCAGAGTTGAGTGCTTGTATGAGTTCGAAGGATGATGTGGCTGGAATGGCTACTCTCCATTGCAGTCTAAGCATTATTAAGTTAGTACCAGTGCCGTCAATCTTCTAGGAATAGAAACAATATAGCTCAAATGAGATATCTTGGATATAGTAGATGGATGGAATGAGCACTTACAGAGATCTTCGTTGTCCAAGTGTGTAAGCAACGTTACTCATTAGACCATTTTGAAAAAATTCTGGCCTTCTTTCTAAATATATCCCGATGTTCTTCATGAGCGCCTCTAGAGCTCCTTTATCGTTCGCGGACAAGGCGATTAGTCTTCTGCCTTGCAGCGCTTTCTCACTGGATTCAGGCTCAAGCTCAGTTATGAAAGGAGCTCGTTCTAAAACAACATGTGCATTTGTACCTCCAAACCCAAAGTTATTTACACTAGCAAACTTCTTTGCTCTTGGCCATGGGCGTTGACTGATAGGAACCTGGGAAAGATCAGCATTAATTCGGTCTACTATAAGCGATCGATGACCAACCTTCAAATGCCATTTTGAAAAGGGTATGTTCTCATTAGGCGTCTTGAAATCGTGATTAGGCAGGATAAAGCCTCTTTCAAGCATCATAGCCGTCTTAATCACCGATATGATACCTGTGAGATATTTCTTAGCTTTTTAGGCAATTTAGGATAACCGAGTGATACTCACCAGAAGCAGCTTCAAGATGTCCAATATTTGATTTCACGGATCCAATGAAGAGGGGATTTCTGGCATTTCTGCCTTCTCCAAATACATTATACAGAGCGGTAGCTTCTATAGGATCCCCAACCTTGGTACCGGTTCCGTGAGCTTCCACGTAACCTGTGTCTTTTGGATCGATACCAGCACTTTCGTAGACCCATTTCATGAGCGATTCTAATCCGATTAACATTTCGGATGGCAATGTCAACTGGAATTAATTCTGGACTTACCTTGTGCAGAACCGTTAGGCATGGTTATTCCAGGAGTTTTACCATCTTGGTTGATTCCGCTTCCTCTTATCACGGCCCTGATGTTGTCATTATCCTTAAGAGCTTGCTCTAAAGGTTTTAAAACAACCAAACCACAACCCTCACCGCGTCCATAACCAGTGCCCCGGCTGTCGAAAGAGAAAGATCTACCTTCATCGGAAAACAAACTGTATATATTAGATGAGATCCCAAAATGCTAGGGAGTTATGGCAGACTCACCGAGAATTTGACATTGAAATCCAGTTTTCTGGTAGCATATTGAGATGGCATCCACCGGTGATAGCTGATTTACATTCTCCATTCCGAATACTCTGGCAAGCTTGATGTAAAGCAACCAAACTCGAAGAGCATGCAGTGTCCATGGTAAAACTAGGCCCTCGTAAATCAAAGAAATGAGAAATGCGATTCGACTGCATAGCAAAAGCGCATCCTAGGTTGAATATTCAGTAAAGCAAAATGTGTGACCAGGGAAGAATTATTTACCTGTAGCTTGGTACATAGGAATACTATCGGTGTCCACAAATGATGCGGATTCGTACTCTGAGAATGAGCCACCGACAAACACACCCACGTCCTTCCCAACAATTTCATGTTTCGGGATACCCGCACTCTCCAAAGCTTCAAAAGTACATTCTAGCAAAATTCGTTGCTGTGGATCCATCGAAGTTGCTTCCTGGGCAGTAAGACTGAAAAACGGCGCATCAAAGAGCCCTACATCTTCTTTGAGAAAATTTCCGCCAGCTGCATTAAAACAGCCAGCCTTTCCTGGATTTGGATGATAGAAGCTTGCGGTATCAAATCTCTCCTTCGGTATTTCTGACCAACCGCTTCGAGCTCTCGAACAGAGCTCCCAAAACTCATCCGGAGTGCTAACATTTCCTGGCAGCCGACACGAAATTCCGACGATTGCTATTGGTATCTGCTTTGCAAGTTGGGGTTGGCTATATCCCGAAATGTATCCATCTTTAAAAGCTTGAGAATAAATATCTTTGAAGGCCTTGACTTCAGGCGCATCGTCGCTTTCTCCTGGAGCAGCTTCGAAGGTCTGCTCCAGTATCGTTTCCTCAACTGCACCATTCATACCCTCCTGGGGCGAATTCCAGGTGGTCGCTGAAGGCGCCATATCTTTTTCGTTGTGATTAAAGCCGTCTGGTATTACAATAACATTGTAAAATCAGAATCACAAGAACATGTAGATGGTTTTGGCTATATTATGCGCTGAATTGATTTGTCAATTCCTTTTGGGGCCAGTTCAAGCTAATCTTCACTTAAACATGGTCGTGTTTCAAATGATAGCTAGAATGATGGGAAATATGAGCTTTGAGTTCCCGGTCAAGTGTCGGGTATGCAAACGGATAAAATCTCGCACGGCTGCCATCCCATGTTCAAAGCGGGTGGTATTGCACAAACCGTGTCAATCAAATCTTGGCTTTTCATCCCATCTAATTGACAATTCATGTTGATCATCATGGAATGATAAAAGAGCCGAAACGATAAGGTTAAAACTGTCAGGCTCTGGTGTTCAAACCTCTCAAAGCGTGCTGGGGATTGCATCGCATCACATTATCCCCATGATGCATTGGTCTACACCAGGTAATGGACTCTGTCGTCTCGTTCCATAGGTAACCAAGAATCGATTGTAGCATATACTTTCAACGCCTCCTTCCAAGAGATATGGTGAGCATGATCCATGAACAATGATAAATGAAGCATCGACCAACAGCTGGGCCTAAAGCTTAGCTACACCACGAACCGTGAACACGGGGAAAGAGGCATGAAACAGGAATGCAGACAAAAACAAAGCTGAAGCACATACTTCCTTTTCTGATTCAGGTTACCTTCTAGATAGGGTCGGTGCAACCAGCGATTAGTGCATAGCCGGCAAGTCAGTCCATGCATCTTACCCTTCTGACTGGACGTCGTGTTGTGCACTGAACTTCATTTCGAAACATCCAAAAGCACTTGAGATCAGACTCGACCAGAAAAAGTGCATTTGCCTTTACTGTGTCCGAGGTCTGTGGTTGTGGTTGTGGCGCATCGTTTCTCCAGCCACAATCACACAAACCCCTCACGCCACCGAGGCCACCAACCTTATTAGCCTTCCTCCCTTCTTCGACTCAAGTCGGGTGTTCCTGATCGACCGGTAATTCCCTCACCTCCATCCTCAAAATCCCCATATAATCTGTGGATCTATACCCAGACTTCTTTCCCAAGGGTCTCTTATTCAATAGAAACGATCTAAGATTCATTAGTGAAGAGTCTCCTATCCAATCATTTGCTGAAGATGCAGGATATCCACAATATCCGACTCGGGCGAGATTACATCCCCAATTTCTTCCGTCTGTGCACATCATCTTAAACTTGTTCCAAGATGACAGACGTGATTTGAAGGGATGTTTGTATTACCCAAGTTTCAATATGGAGATCTCCAGAAGTTGGATGGGTTCCCCGGCTGTGAAGCAGTATAGATCCTTGACCAGATCTTCCATTCTTAAAAGCTTAAGGAGCTTCATAAACCCCAGATAGAGACCTCGATCAAACTTTATACTTGCAATAACTTACGCGTCGTTTCTACGGTTAATACAATATTGAACTCTTTGATATCAGACTTCAGAATATCATCTTTCCTCAATCATTCTCAATCATGAAGTTTTTATGTCTTTGCGGAGCATATGGAAGCTCAGATGTAAGTATAATCTCTCAACATCGCTTGCAAACTTGGTGCTTAAGCTGACCTTACGCAGAAATTTAGAGTGCAGCTTGGTGTGTATCCTCGGCAGTTCTCATTGACATGTGAATCATGCTTACTTTTAAAATAGCTCCTCTCATTAAGGAATTAGCGTCTGATGAGACTGCCGAATTATTCTTCGCTCATGGTCCAGTTGACGCCTTTCCTCCCGAAGGATATGAAGATTATTTCGGTCCTGGGCCACATTATCGATTCATAAAGCCCGGTAACACGGAAGAAGGGGGAAGCGATCTTCTTGATCGCATTCGAAACTTTCCCAAGGGTGCAACCGCAGAAGATCAAATGCGAGAACTGATGAGAGGTGGAATTGGTTCCACAGTTCCTGTCCCAAATGCCGATGGCACTTACGGTGATGAGAGTGCACAAGACGCCATGGAGTACTTATACGATATTATGCAAGAAGAAGGACCTTTCGATGGAATCATTGGATACTCAGAGGGAGCTACAGTTGCAGGGACGCTGTTGTTGCATGAACAAAAACGATTCGAAGTCGAGGGAAGAACACCAATGTTCAAATGCGCTATATTCTTTGCCGGGTGGCCTCCAATGACACCAGAATTTGACGGAATTGTTCTTGCGGATGAAACCGATTTGACAATCACCATTCCAACCGTTCACATCAGTAAGTCTAACAAACTCTCAAATAGTACCATAAACACAATCTAACTCTTAATTTAGTTGGATCGTTAGACCCATATCTTGCAGGATGTATTTCGCTCTACAATGTATGCGATATGGACAATGCGTACCTCTTTGATCATGGAAAAGGCCACACGTTGCCCAGAGATCCAGAGACAGTCCGAGAGCTTGGCAACATAATACGCACAATGGGCTCGAATATTGGTCTTTTGTGAGGTATCAGAGGAGATGATGCATTGTCGCATTTATTTCAAATACCTAACAGAAGGCCTTGCATCCTTGCAGTGAGCAGGCCTCACGCATGCTGTGGAGGTTGGGATTGCCGGATCGTAGACCGGACACTTTTTTCTTCATTACAAAAAGTTTAATTATTACACGATACCAAATGTAGAGGCGACCTGGCAGGATCAAAGGCGTTATTACGACTATTATATTTATAGTATATAAATCTATTTCATTAAATAGCGGGATGTTCATTCGTAATGTTTCTGCGCTGGTGTGCTGTACATCGTTCGACAGAACAACCATCCTTCTCTTTGAATTTACATATGTCATCCTCATACCTGGCTCTATGAAACTACTGGGAGTATCTTCATGTACATTTCATTCTTTGAAATGGCCAAGAAATGGTTTCGTGCTAGGTGATCTCAAGTTTCAGGATTTTCACATTTTGAAGGGGGACCTTAGCCGAGGGTACTATGCAACAATTCCGTCTGTGTATTCTGTCACGCCAAGTCAAAGGAAGAAACAACTACAGTTGACCTTGTTTGACTCTAACCATGTAATAGTCGATCTTATACAATGGAGATCGAGGATTTCACATACAAAGTCGAATCCCCTGCAATGATTATTCAAGGGAACTAACAGAAGATTTGCAGAAACTTGACATATTCAATTGCGTTCATTTCTTATCAAAACAAATTCTGGCGAGATTTCCTGTCATGTATCATGTTTTAATCTCAACCAATTAAGCCGTGTGCTACAGCGTTCAGTGCCCGCGATCAGACCAAGGGTTCTCCATATGCACGGATGTGAGGTCTATTTCTGGCTCCACCATCAATCTCTAATTTCTTCTCCTGAGACCGAGTCAGCTTTTACAATGAGAGAGCGGAGCAATTTCGAAACAAGAAACTTTATGTCGACATTGAGTGGTTTTGATTTGCCACCTTGAGAGAGGTGATGCTTTCACGAGAATCTCTATGGAAACTTTACACTTCAGAAAGTAAAGATGGCGGGGAATATTGACAGCAGGTCGTCATCATCGCCTCCACCAAAGTTCTCTCAATCAAATGTGCCTTTGTTATCAGATGTTGCAGTAGGCTATGATGATGGCGAGAAGGCAGCTACGTCGCTTTTGAGTATAGGGATGGTAAAACGGTCTCACAAATTCCATGGAGCTCCATTGCAAACAGATGCTTTAATGGAAGAGATCCTTTCCCCACATTCTGGAGACTTTAATTCACCTACAACACCAACGCAATGGCCAACTTCAGCAAAGGAGCCTTTACTACCAGGCGAGGAAGGTACCCAAATAGACAATGGGAACGTCGAAGTCATTGATCCTCCACCAAAGTCCAAGGCTCGTTATATCAGCGCAGAGTATAGGCTTGCGTTGTCTCATTTTAGGGTGAGTATTCACCTCATACTGGACTTCTACACATGACTAAAATCCTCCACAGCGAATATTCTATTATACAAATAGTGATGACAAATTACTCCTCCTTGCGGCAGGTGGTGCTTCAGTGTTCACTGGTATAACATTACCTCTCATGAATGTTGTTTTTGGTAAGAACTATAAACTACCGTTTATCTGGTGAGTGTTTGGAGTGCTGAGTGTATTTCTAGGTTCACTGGTAGGCGACTTCAGTGGGTTTTATAACCCCAACTCGGATGAAACAAAAGAGGTATTCACCGAAGCTATCAATCAAAATGTGTGAGTAGCAGCATCTGTGAAGAGGATTGATGGTAGATACTAATGCAACTGTACAGAATCTACATGCTCTACCTGTTCTTAGGGAGGCTCCTCCTCGATTACGTCGCTGTTGTGAGTGGATTACACATATTGATCCTCCAAAGTTTCCTAACACTCTTATAGCTGGGATTCCGGATGGTGAGCATTCGAATATCCGCATCAATCCGAATAGCGTATCTCAATGCCCTTTTTCGTCAACCCATTTCGGTGCTTGATACCTTACCATCAGGGCAAACAGCATCCATTATAACCATTACTGCTAATATACTCCAACTTGGTATCTCCGAAAAGCTTTCCATGTTTCTTCAAAGCGTCTCTTTGATTTTCTCGGCTTTGATAGTCGCATTTTACTACAATTGGTTGCTCACACTTGTAACCAGCACTGGCTTGGTCTTTATCATTGCATTTTATTCATACACAATTCCACGATTGGTAAAGATGCTGAAGCAGGTTGAGGAAGCTGACCAAGTGTCGTCCTCTATTGCGAGTGAAGTTTTCAGTTCGATTAGGATGGTTGTGGCCTGTGAAGCTGAAGGGAAAATGGCAAAGAGATATGCTGCATGGGTACAAGAATCTCGGCGGCGAGGTTTACTTATGTCTCCCTTGGTAGCAATTCAGCAAGCTCCTGGTACGTCCTCAAAACTCTCTTTCTTACCCATACTGACCGGTTCTTAGTATTTTTTGCAATTCATGCGTAAGTCTTCTCCACACACTCATGAGAATTTATACTTACAAACATAACAGTACCTTTGCAATGTCATTTTGGTTCGCCATTAAATTGTACCTAGAATCCGAAATTGCTAGCGTGTCAACTATAATTATGTTCGTTCTCATTAATCACCCTAATTCACTTTGATACATGACATTAATCAATATTTTCAGCGTTTTATCGTCTATAATGACTATTGTAATGTCTATTGGGGGTATAGCAGCACCCATCACTGCTGCCGCACAAGCCGCCGGTGCTGCGGGTATTCTTTTCAGTATCATTGATGCTCCACAGCCAAAAACAGATGGTGTCAAGGCACCGGATGTTTCTTCCAGGGAAGATATCGTTCTTGAGAATGTCAACTTTGCCTATCCTCTGAGGCATGACGTGAAAGTACTTGACAATCTCAGTGTTCGATTTCCAGCCGGAAAGCTGACAGCTATTGTCGGAGCATCTGGCTCAGGGAAAAGTACCATCGTCGGGTTGATCGAGAGGTGGTATGAGCTTGATGGAAACCTCACGGATAATGCCATTGTAAGTTTCGATCCATGAAAAAATGCTCAAAGGTCATCCATCACTAACTAATCGTAAGACACTTTTCTTCCGAAATGGTACAATCACTGTCGGAGGCCGAAAATTACATGAGATTGACCTGAAGTGGTGGAGGTCACAGATAGGACTCGTTCAGCAAGAACCATTTTTATTCAATACCACTATTTACAGAAATGTGGAATATGGTCTGATAGGTACTAAATGGGAATATGAATCCCACGAAAAGAAGAGGAGATTAGTGAGACGAGCTTGCAAGGAGGCATTTGCGGATGAATTTATTAAACGACTTCCAGAGGTAATGCTAGCCATGAAATCATGATTCATTTATTTGAAAGGCTTCTAACTTTTATAGGGATATGACACGATAGTAGGCGACTCTGGGATAAAACTCAGTGGGGGTCAACGACAGAGACTGGCAATTGCAAGAAGTATTGTTAAGCAGCCAAAGATATTGATTCTTGATGAAGCAACGAGCGCTATCGATGTCAGAAGTGAAAGAATAGTTCAAGCTGCGCTGGACAAAGTCTCCAAGAACCGAACTACGATCACAATAGCGCATCGTCTATCTACCGTTATTAAAGCTGACAATATCGTCGTTATGAAGAAAGGTCAGGTAGTACAACAGGGAACTCACGAACAGCTGTTAATGGATTTAAATGGTCCATATTGGGCACTTGCAAATGCTCAACAGCTGGGAAATGGCGAGCTTCCTAGAAAAGAAATTGATACTCCTAGCGACCCCGAGAAACGAAGAATAGACTCACCAACATTTGAAAGAATCAGTCTTGATGCGGCAGAAGAATTATCCAGCTTGGAAATGGGGTTCCCTGTAGCGAAGCCAAAAACTCCCCTGGGAAGCTTTATACTTTTTCTTTGGGAACAAAAGCCACGATGGGTATGGTATACAATAATGTTTCTAAGCTCTTTGGGCGCCGGTGCTTCATTCCCATTACATGCATTTCTATTTGCAAAACTCATTTCGCTATTCAATTTATGGGGACAAGCTCTCCAAGTCCAGACCAATTATTGGTGCTTCATGTTTACGTTGTTGGCCATCAGTGTGGGTCTCAGTTATTATGCCCTCGGATGGTCTTCAAACACGGTCTCATTCGTAAGTTTTGTCGATTGTTGGCTACTTCAGTGACTAACAATAGTGTCAGAATATCACAGCTACATATCGCCAAGAATACTTTCAAAACGTGCTCTCAAAGCCTGTGTCATACTATGATGAAGAGGAGAACTCCGTGGGCAGTTTGACAGCTAGAATGGCGAGTGATCCTACTCAACTTCAGCAGTTACTCGGAATCAACATGGCAATCGTGCTCATCTCTATGTTTAACATATTTGGATCTGTGGCAATGTCCTTTTATTTTGGATGGAAACTCACTCTATTGACAGTGGTGACGACGATGCCCATCATTCTAGCCGCAGGATTTTTCCGACTTCGATACGAAACCCAATTCGAGAAAATGAACAACGAAGTATTTGCCGAGAGCTCAAACTTCGCTACTGAATCTATTGGTGCGTTCCGGACAGTATCAGCTCTTACTCTAGAATCGGAGATTTGCGGACGATACGAGAAACTTTTGCGAAATTATACCAAGAAAGCTTTCCGGAAAGCTAGATTCTCAACCTTTATATTCGCAATGAGCGATAGCATCGCTATACTATGTATGGCATTTGTTCTCTGGTATGGCGGCCAGCTTCTGGCGGACCATGAGTATACACCTTTTAATTACCTAGTTGTATACTTAGCCGTTGTACAAGGGAGTACCACCGCAGGCCAATCTCTAAGTTTCGGACCAAATGTGGCGCAAGCTTTTGCAGCAGCAGATCGTATCCATGGCATGAGACCTGGAGATAAAAACGATAATGAGTCAGTGCTTTACGACTTTGCAGATGCTCACGATCCGGAGAAAAGCTCTCGCGGAGTCAAAATTGAGCTCAAAAATGTCTCTTTCAAGTACCCTACTCGTGATGTTCCAGTGCTCAATGGACTTGACATAATTATTGAGAAGGGGCAATTCGCAGCTATTGTTGGACCATCTGGATGCGGCAAAACAAGTATTATATCCCTACTCGAGCGATTTTATCAAATCCAGAGTGGTCAAGTTCTCTACCAAGACACGAATATCAACGATATCTCTCTTGAAGAATATCGCAAGTTCATTTCGTTGGTTGCGCAAGAGCCTTCCTTATTTGAAGGTTCGATCCGCGACAACATTCTCCTGGGCGTCTCAGACGAAGAAGAGGTATCAGACACCGTACTCCATCAAATCTGTCGCGATGCAGAGATCCATGACTTCATATCCTCACTCCCCGAAGGTTACAACACTGCTGTGGGCGCTCATGGAGTCGCACTATCGGGTGGTCAAAAACAACGAATTGCTATTGCACGCGCTTTGATTCGGAATCCAAAATTGTTGTTGTTAGATGAAGCGACGTCTAATTTAGATTCTGAGACGGAGAGGAGTGTGCAAGCTGTATTTGAAAGGACCGGAAGGGGAAGAACCATGATTGTTGTCGCGCATAGATTGGCGACTGTTCAAAATGCAGATGTCATTTTTGTTCTAGGAGAAGGGGGAAATGTGGTGGAAAGAGGAAGTCATGGACGCTTGTTGGGAATGAGAGGGTTGTATTGGCAGATGGTATGTTCTCTTATGTTCTAATTGGTAATATACATTCTAGAGTGAAGACTAACTATCAACTGTAGTGTCAAGCGCAAGCTTTAGATCGATAGAATGGGAGGTACTTTTTGTTTGTCTCACTGTCATGTTGTAATGTGTTTTTGCGGATGGGACGGAGTACTCAAGGTTGGCGTCTTTGGCATATTAGGCGTATTGGGCGTGTTGGGTGTTTGTTGGATATAATCCAGAGACTGAGAAACCTTCACCCCATGAGTAGCACGAGCTTGAAAACGTGATATCAATATCTCATCATTGATTCCACTTATAAGATATCTCCTACCATAGAAATTATAAATATCAAAAACAATCCCTATCGGCGACCCAACTTCATGGGCAAAGGATCACCAGGATGCATGTATTCTGAGTAGGATTTTGAAATATTTCACGTGATTTCTGCGTTTCTTCACTCGAAAGTTTATTCAAAATAATTTAATATGATCTCAAATACAGACGTGCAACAAAACACACATCACTTCACGCCAAAATCACGGGATCAACGAGGCTTGTATGCACTGCCACTCCCAAAGTACAAACGGCAGATGCAGGTGAGATTAAGAATTGGTAAACCTGCATCACGGCTCGAGCCCTGGAGCCGAGAGACGGAAAGGCGAAGCAGTCGAATACTTCGTTGACCCATAAACATTTTAGGTTGCAAAGTCAAACATCGTGTTGGGCTTTGATTCTGGTTGAGTTGGAGCCTGGTGGAAATCTAGTTACTGTTACATTTAATGTATATTTCCGCACGCACGTTATAATCTGCAGTCGTCCGCGATTCAGAGTCGCAGGTATTGCTTCGCCACTGCTTCGCCAGGTTTTGGTAATTGTGCAATTGGCCTGGGGAGTTTCAATCTTACCAGGGCTAGCCTAACGGTGGAACTTTGTGGCTGACACAGAAAGAAAGCAAAATCCAGCATTTGCAGCAGAACTACACATGTTTAAGCGCCGTCCCGCCAACTGCGCGGTGTTTCTCAACTTGAGTAATATCTTAACATCGAACATCGATCAATTATCATGGTCAGTCAAGGACTGATTGGTGCCTACATTGTGAATTATAGACGCTACAGAAGTGACGTATGCGACACTGCCCATGTTCAATACCCGAAACAATGTACTTCAGACGCGTCACGAAGCATATCATATGGGCGAAGTCCAAAGGTTCAAACGGAACTTCAAATACTATTATTGGCTGAACAGGCTGTTTGCAGCACGTTTGATGGGAGGCCTGAATCTCGCATTCACCAGATTCTATACTTGCTCACCAACCGCGCGTTTTGTCTTATTTTGAAATGAGCATTTAGAAAGTTTCGAAAAGTTTCGTTCCGCATGTGTTACACCGACTGCGCCATAACTTGATTTTTTAATCATATTGGCTGAGACCATTTTCTGATAGCCTTACATGCGAATGCGGGATTTTGCAATCTACAAGGTCTAGATAACCTATCGGTCTGCATTTCTCCCAACTCATTCACAGCTTCAAATGCAACATGCCGAATATCATATCAGCCCAGTTGTATTAATCTACTCCTTGCAGATCGAGAACGACCAGAAGTGAACACAGTATACCAGCTCAATCCATGCCCGTGAGTCATTTCGTCCCAATGAGAGATTGTGGCGTTGAAAACGTGTTTTAGCCTTCGGATAGACACACCATACTGCTTTATGCTTTAAAGCGTGTTGACTCTGAGGAAAAATGGAAGTGCACTAAATGATCATAGTTCATGCTTTTGGTTACTTACTTAATATCGAAGATGCTCGAAAGTCACAATATAAAGCAATTTGAGAGATGTTTGAAAATAATCTAGGCGAGCAGACTTCTCCTATGACCTTTAAAATGGACTACAATATACCTCCGATGACACCATTTGACACCCCGCCTAATGTTACTTATGTACCTTCAACGGCATTCAAGAAAACCACACAAGATGAGAGATCTACCATTCAAGTTCACGATGCGGAAACATTTGAAGGTCAGCAAATTGGTGCTATCCTTCCAATCAAGAGATCATTGAAAGCCACGGCTTTCTGTTCACCGCTCGCAAAAGTGGGTGATTATGTCGAGATTTTGGCGAATTACAATTTCAGTCAAGTTGAAGTTAAGAATCTTCGTACTAGTATGTCAGGAACCATCGATTGGGAAGATCTACTTCCGGTTCCGTACGATGGAAAATGCGGTTGCTTAGGTGTAGGATGTCGATGTGTCTATGAAACTTGGCAAGCGTATTCTGCACGCCGTCCAGCAAGACTGATGCCAGTTTATGGTGGTCAGGATATGAGTGGATTATATGGTATGGATTTCAAACTTCCCACAGAGGGGGATTGGTCACAGGTTGATGAAATGTATACCCAAACTTACTCATCGACAGCCTCGCCTCTTCAGACGTCTAATTATCCAAACGCCCCATTATATACAACCAATTTTACAACAAAGACACTTCCAGAAGTAAACGACCCCCTGACAGCCGCTGGACAAGCACCCGGAGCCATCTTAGCTGTGAAGCAACATGCCCACTTTCCTCACGATTTTGGTCCAGTTCTCGAGACTGAAATCGGAGATCGATGCAAATTTCTCGAAGCCTGCGAGCGAGGTTGGGGCAGAGTGAAGGTTAAAAATCTTCGCACTGGGAAGGAAGGATATCTGCGATGGCAAACTTTCAAACCGGTTAACCCGAGAAATACATGTTCTTGTCTTAACGCTTGGTGCTACTGCGAGTATGAGGATTTTGAGAAGAGCAAAGCATATTGCGAGGCCCATAAATCATGAATTGGATCGGGGTTGTGTTGAATGATGTAACGATTTCATGACCGGGAGAGATTGTTGGATAGAATGATGGGATACCCACTGCACTTGGGTACTTTAGGCAACATGGGACTTGGTGTGCATTTTTTCTGAAAGTCGATTTGTTATAATGAATGGAAAATGTGAAATGCTCTCCTGTGTTGAGCGAGCTTACTGATTACTCGAGACGTTGATTAGACTAGGTAGCTGAACAAAAACACTGTTGGTACCCTTTCAATACTCAATGGTTAGAACAGATGGTAAGATGATTTAAAGCATGACTCTTTAGGTTTAGTGATTTATTTTGGCGTGCGATATGTTCTGTCTCAAATGTTGCGGCACTTGCTACTAGTAATATGCAACTTTCCGCCGCCTGCAAGCACTCATAATTCTACGCGAAGCCGCTATCTTGGCTAATTTACTGACTTGGCGGCCCAGACCTGGTGGGAAGTCTTATTCTCGTTCCCAGTCGTTGATACTGCAACGTTAAACTCTCCTCTCTAATAGGCCGCTTTTTGCTCTGATTTTTTCTTCTACACTTGGAAGAGTCTTTGATATACAAGCTTCAGGTATGGATACTCTGAATGAAATTCTAAGTGGTCTAGAATCAATCTTTCGCCAATAATTTTCTTTTTCCCTTTTCAGGATCCCAGGTTTCCGTGCATCTTGGAATTAAATTATTACAATTGCTATCCTTTCCCTGATTGTCTACCTACAGACTTACTGGAATGTGATACCTAGGTAGTACCCGAATTCTGAAGTTGACGTGTGACGCCACACTTTGCTTTCCGCAAATGTGGCTGAGAATTTCATCCACACCGCCAACTCCTATCCTCACGTCGAATGATTGATTTTTGTAGTCCGAACAAAATGCGTCTTATAAACACATCATCACTATGCCTCGAGGAATTCTACGATGGTCATATTCCAGCATATGCAATTCTTTCACACCGATGGGGCAAGAAAGAGGTAACATTTCATGACATGCAAGCTGGTGATTGCATGAATGTGAAAGGGTTCGCCAAAATTCAAGGATGTTGTAAGCAGGCCAGACTAGACGGTTGGATGTATGTTTGGATTGATACTTGTTGTATCGATAAAGCGAGCAGTGCTGAGCTTTCAGAAGCTATCAACTCCATGTTTCAATGGTATCAGAAAGCAGAAATTTGCTATGCCTATTTGAGCGATATTGAGAATCGTCCTGATCCTTCAAACCCGGCAGAACTAAAATCCAGTGATTGGTTCACAAGGGGGTGGACACTGCAAGAACTACTTGCTCCAAAAAAGTTGACTTTCTTCGACCGAAATTGGGATCTAATTGGGAGAAAGGAAGACCTCCAGGATGAACTTCGAACAATTACCGGAATTTTGGACATGAATAACTGGAGAAGCGCTTCGATTGCCCAAAAGATGTCTTGGGCTTCTCGAAGATCGACAACCAGGGTTGAAGACCAGGCTTATAGTCTCCTGGGTCTATTCGACGTTAACATGGCCCCATTATATGGAGAAGGCAAGAAAGCCTTTATGAGACTTCAACTTGAGATATTGGCTGTATCTGATGATGAATCAATATTTGCATGGAGAGATTCAAGTGAGATAGGAGGGGGCCTACTAGCTCATTCTCCAAAAGCTTTTCGTGACTCCGCCGAGATTGTCTCTAAAGCATTTGACACCATACAAAAATGGAATCCAAATTCAACGAGAAGACCATACTTGATGACGAATAAGGGCTTACAATTAGAGTCACCACTTGCAACGCCTTTTACAGATTGTTCTTGTGGTTATGTCAGGCATCTCGCGCACGAATCTTCCGCCTACCCATCAGACACCAAGCTTGCACCTCTTCAATGTTGCTACGAGGGAAATACAAATTCAGGTAACCCATACGTATTGGCAGTATACCTCATTCGCAATCGTGGTAACGAATTTTCGAGAATTGACCCTGAGTCCATTGAAATAATTGACATTCGTCAACTCGACAGAAGTCCACTTTCGCATTTGGAAATTGGAATAAGTCCCTGCCTAGACAAATTTTCAGCATCGAGGATACAGGAATATATGGAAAGTATATTTGTCAGGCAGCATCAACCTATCAATAAGGTTCTCGAACCTTGTGATATTTGGATAGAGACCAAGGCGTTAGCAGAATTAGGCTTCACCATGACGACTGAATGGCTTTCTAATACTCGACAAACGAAATTAGTGAAACTTGAGGATGGGATAAGAGTGCAAAGCAATCAATTACAGCCAAATGGTATGACAGCCATAATAACCTTCACCCAGCGTACTAGTATGGAAAGAGGCTACTTGGGCATCTATGCGTTTGTTTTCAACATCACGATTAGTTCACGCGGACCTCTCGTTAGTTTGATGGAAGTACCAGTGCATCAAAAACAAAGAATACTTGAGTATGAGCAAGAGAGTTTCAGTGATGGTAGAGCACCACATGCAAAATCTCTGCTCAGACGACATTACGCTGGGGATTTGGTTGCCCCAATACTGACTAAGGTTGAAGACATTCCTCCCTGGCTGAAGTATCGAGTTCACTTTGAATTTAAGAAAAAGGCTTTGCAGACTCATGGTAGTAATAGATACAGCTTCAAAGAAGTTTTGAGTGGGTTGTGGGCAGCATTTTAGTACAAAAATCAACTAACAAGTCATCGTGCCAAACCTTGGAATGAATGAAAACCACATCCGATACTTGTCGGCTATTCCACGAGACTTGCAACTCGGCCTGATTTGTATAGTCGACAAAGAATTCCCCATAAACATGTCTTAAGTTCAAATGAGGATCCAAGAATCCAGGCCGTGCTGTCTAAAAGATCGAGAAACTTAACGTGTCTTTAGAATATGAATGAATTACCAGTACTCCACCACTTGGCAATCCTACTTAACAAGTGATACCAAACCTATTTTAACGTCCTTAAGTCTAGATATACAAGTCTAAATCAAACGGGTAATTCCCAGGCGCCAAAATTTTGAATCTGAGTTTGCGGGTCTTAGGTTTTACTCTCGACGGGGAATGATACAATTCCATTCATATCTTCCAACCGCGAGAACTTTGCTTGTAATCACTCTTTTGAAACTCAGTGGTCTGAGTATATTGCTTCGGTGGGGCAACATTCTCTGCGTTATCCGACGCAATATTCGTTTCGCCCACCAGACCTCCACTGGATATACTCTTGCCTACATCACACACAAAAAGATCTGCACGCAGAAATGCAAGGTAGATCATAGTAATTGAGGTACCATACAACCATCTATGCCCTGCGTGTGCCCTGCATTTACCCCGCCATACACTACTATCTACATTCCCTTGACAGGCTCAGGATTTAATGAGTTGTAGTAGAGCCGACCCAATGATAAAGGGGAGAGCATTCCACCGAGATCAATGCCCCAATCAGTAAGGTAGCAGTGAGATTGGTCTGAAACCAAGCCTGAACTGGATGCTCACACATTTTGAAATTCCAATGGCTGCGTAAGCCCCTTGTAAGGCAGATTGATCCGCCTGTCGCCTGACGGTAACGTGGTGTAAGAAACTACTCAAGTGGATTGTCTCCAATTGAGAATTGATGCCAAGCTAGAAGCCTATAGCATGACTGAAACCCTACCAGCCGGCATGGATAGAAGAAATTTGTACCTCCGTAGAGAGGAATTAATAGGATGGCACTCAACAATAACAAAGTTGCAAGCTTCATAAACAGTTTCTTGTATCGATAGATACAGAGCAAGCTTCATTTTACATCGGGTGGTGTTTTCTGGTATTGATAAGAATCAAATACCTGAAAGATACATAGCTCTCACTAAGAGAATCCATGCTCACGAGTAAGGGATAATATGAAGAGGCCAGAAGGCTGTTTTGATGTCTTGTTGATATTGGGATTATTCGGTTGGTTTGCAGGCTAATATTTGATTGGATAAGAGTTTTACTCAAAACTGAATCCTGACATTCAAATAGGTTGGTTTCGTCCTAAACTTGTCATCTTTGAGAATATATTTCTACCAAAATCAAAGAAGTTATGGATTGTCAGTCTTCTTTTCCTTGACAAAAAGATTTATTTGGTTCATACTTCTAAACTCCTCTCTTAGACCATCATTCGGAATAACAGTTTCCCCGAACTCCACCATGGACTACTTTCACCGCTTTACCTCTGGTTCAAAAGGTCAAGCTCAAGCTTCGACCTCCCAATCTCTCTCTAATTCCACCAATTCTGTACCTCAGCCAAAAATGGAGAATCATCGACAGCAAGAGGAGTCTGCTGCTTCTGCAGTATCTTCTCCATCTGAATCCAAAAAGCCAAGAAAGAAGAAGGTTCTGCTGATGGGAAAGTCGGGTTCGGGAAAGAGTTCTATGAGAAGCATTATCTTTTCGAACTATGTCGCAAAGGATACAAGACGATTGGGAGCAACAATTGATGTCGATCTTAGCCATGTCAAATTTCTAGGAAATTTAACACTCAATCTATGGGATTGTGGAGGGTGAGTTCTTGTTTTATGGTGTTTTCGAGCTTTCCATAAACATGGGGTGCGGGGTAGTCATCGCAAATTACATTCGAGTTTTGGCAGACTTTACAAGATAACAAATTGGTCTCTCATACTGCTCGCAGATTAATATTGAATTTTCCATATCATTACAGTCTGCGTTGCTGTATTTTTAGTTCAGACTTTTGAACACGGCTAACAAAAATTTAGTCAGGATGCGTTCATGGAAAACTATTTATCTCAACAACGTCAGCATGTATTCTCTAGTGTCGGCGTCCTCATTTACGTTTTCGATATCGAATCTCGGGATTTCGATCGTGATATTTTAACATATCGATCGATCATTACTGCACTCACCCAATTCTCACCAACCGCAAGTATCTACGTCCTGATTCATAAGATGGATCTTGTCCTTCCGAACCAACGTGAGGATATCTTCCATGAGAGAATCTCACTCGTCCGATCTAAATCAGAATCATTCAATATCGTACCATTCGCAACATCTATCTGGGATCAATCGCTTTACAAGGCATGGGCGGAAATCATTCACGATCTAGTTCCTAATCTCGGAGAAATCGAAAGACATCTCTCTTCACTCGGTACTATCATTGAAGCTGAAGAGGTTCTCCTCTTTGAGCGCTCGTCTTTCCTTGTCGTCTCAAGCTGGACTTCCCCAGAGGGAGAAGCGAATCCTACCACTGATCGATTCGAGCGTCTTTCGAATATTATCAAAAACTTCAAACAAAGCACCTCTCGTTATACCGGTACACCCAAATCCGCCGAGCAGTTCAGTTTATTTGAATTGAAGATGCCAAACTTTAGTATGTTTGTTGTTAAATTTACGACCAATACATACCTTGCGGCCATCCTTCCACCGGGAGAGGAACGCTTCAATTGCGCTTTGGAGAATGCGAAGATTGCTGCGAGGGATTTTGAAGAACTTGATAGTCCGGCGAGAAAGAGTGCTGATAGAGGCGCAACAGGTACTGAGGCTGGAATTGTTTAGATGGATATGAAGATCAATCGATAGATAGATGCTACTTTCAGATATGACGATACGATATGACACAATGCAAATGGGATCTGGCATGGCGTTGGATTTGGGAATACCCTTGGCTTTTCATGTATAATAAGATGGCAGGGAAGGAGCATCGGCGAGGCTAAATTAAATAGTTGCTAATAAGGTTTACTCAGATGTCTAATGCCCGTAATACTGTGACCGAAAAGATATGCCACGTTTGTGTGACGGTGCCACATCTCGGAACATACACACTTTCACTGACACATGCACACATGCAGTGATAATTCAAGGCTATTCACAAGTGTGATAATCTTAGACGGAATGATATTTGAACTGATTTAAAAACAAGAACATCGACAAAGAGGGTTAGTTTCTACAATTTGAGGAAATATCATGGGTTGAATGCCCCTTCGGCTTCCAAGTTCCAATACTCACGCAAAGGAGTCCAAGTCCACACCGAGACCACATAAGGTAGTATCTATAGCACATGTCAGTATCTAATCGCGCAAATTTCGGACCGGAGATAGAAGGAATGAGAAAGAGATCAAAGTATACATACCAAGACTGTACTGCTTAGCAACCGCCTTTGTCCAACCCCCCATAAAGGTAGTCACTGTATTTACACCCTCTTTGTAATCCTCTTGCACAGCCCACAAAGGCAAATCACTTCCAACGTCTGTACTCCTACTGGCAAACATACCGCTCCATTGGTTACCGTTTGCATAGATTCCCCATTTTAATCCTGTGGCTTTCATTGCTGCGACCCATTGCTTAGCAAGCTTTTCATTGGCTGCAGCACCGAGATTCCAGGCATTGCAGGGAGAATTGGAGACGGATGTGGGCTCGATATCGAGCCAGAGAGTGTGGATGTCCATGTTGTTGTCGGAAATTACTTTGAGGTATTCGGCCATCTGGGTGTCAACGCTCTTGCAGTTGGGCTCGGAGCCGGTGGGTGTACCGGTGCAGGGGAAGATGTAGGAGTCGATGCGGGTGAAACCGGCGGCTTTGGCGTTCTTGTAGGAGGCCACGAAGTTCTTGTCTACTTGGCCGCCGGTTCCGCAAGCTTGCTGATATCCCCGGATAGCGACTACGTCTTTGGTTTTCTTGGCGCACTCGAAGAATGCTGAGGTGCCGAGTTGAGATATATCGAAGCCTACAGAACCAGCACCGGTAGATGGTGGAGTGGTTCCACCGCCACTCTTGATGCAGCACTAATGGCTATCAGTATATGGAGCTTTGGAGATGTGAAAAAGGCGTACCTGGATATCAGCCGGTCCGGGACAAAGACCGCTACTGAAAGAACCTCCAGAGCAGGCGATGGATGTCGCTTGACATGTACCCTTTCCGCTGGAACATGTTGCTACGCAACATTGATTATCGACCCCTCCTGGGCAAGCACCAGCAATGTACTTTCCACCCGAGCAGGAGCTCGAAGTGCTCTGACAGAAGCCGGGCCCACTAGATGTTGAGCAAGCAGTTGATGCTCTAGGAACAAGAGGGTTGCCCGAAGCGACAGCTATGATACCTGTGAAGGCAATAAAAATCTTGGAGAAAGACATAGTTGAAGATCCTGAATTATTGAATGGAAATGATATGGAACAAATGATGAGCATAAATTTACGGTAAATACTTAATAGAAAGATAAGAAAAAGAAACATGACGATGCTACATTCCTATATTTTTATATCTTCACTTATTTCTCGACGATCAGCCGCATATTGGGTAAGATCGACAGCTTCATTTCCACATTCTTCAGCCTTGCATTGCCTTATCGTCATTATGTGTTATGCTTCTTTCTTGAGTGACGGCGGTAGAATTCTGCAGCCTGGGTAGGATTCCAAAATCCTTCCGCTATCGTTCGTATTCAACGGCAGAACAGTTCTTAGTGTGTCGGTTCGGAATCCTTAATCTCCCCAAAACGCGGGGCGGGAACATGGGTAGTAATCTTGCGTTACATTCAGCCGCTTCCATCACTTGAGCGGAATTTTGAATACCTTGATTTTGGGCGAAGCTGCGGTTGATGGTACTACATCTTTTGTGAGAAATGGTACGTATTGTGTGAGAAGTTGGACGATAGATCTCTTATAGTCATTTGTAGCAGGAGAAGGATTGAATGGGTTTCGACGAAAGTGGTATGCGGATATGCAACCTTGAGCAATGTGTCGCTTATGTAATTTTAATTTTGGTAGTATGCATGCTGTACCACCCCAACATCTCCTACTAGAATCACTAATGAGAATGTCACCGTTCCAATATCGATCTATTTTAATACCAGAAAACCCCAAATCTTGTTTCCATGACCATTGATGTTGTGACACCTTACCATTGATCGTCAGTGCGCGAGGGGGCTTTTCTTGGAGAGCGTCAACGAGATCCTTTGGTTGTACAGCTGAGAGATAGAGCCGTTTTGGCTTATCCATCGGTGGATATCCATTCCCTTTTCATGCCGTTGACATCACAAACAGATCACCAGGGCCCAGTTCAGTTCATTATGTTCCAGAAGCCTGAAAAATACTATTGAACAACAGTTTCACTGAAAATGACACAAATCTATAGCCTCCAGATTGTGTAAATACGATGAAAAATATTTTTATGCGCTAACTGTCGCTGAAATTCAGAAAACAAATTCGCTCAATCGAATCTGACTATTCATGACAATAACCCCTTCATGGAATGTCCCGATCATCTCCATGGAAAAACCTCAAGATTGCGCCAGCAACAGCCAACCCATCGTGCCTTAAGTGTGCGGTATCCTTCGCCTTCTCTGCAACCTCCTTATCCTTGATTCCGCCACTCTCAACACGCATTTCAATTTCGAGATGCACCATATCTTCGTCAAAACCAAGATGTCCTTGACTGGTAAATAGTCTCTCCCTCAAATAAAGACCTTGAATCTTTGTATGTTCAGTACTGGCCCAGTTTTCAACGTTATCATCTTCAGAGAGCAAATCAGTTGTCGACGCTGATGGTACAATAGTCACTCGATCTTGATGCATTTGATGTAGGCTAAGCTTCTTGTCTTTCGTTTGGAACAGTCTCTGGCCCACAGACGTCAAATCCATCTCCGTATGTGACAATTCCCATCTTCCAGACGGCTCTGGCTCCACTTTTGCCCCTAAAGCCCGCGATAATATCTGGTGACCGAAGCAAACACCACTGAACTTCATATCCTTTCGTTCAATCCAAAGATCTCGCAAAAGTTGCAGCAGTCGTTGAATCCATGGATCGTCTCCATGAGCGTCGTACATGCTTCCCGTAATCAATATGGCGTTGATCGATGGATCGACATCGGAGACTTGAGGAACGTGTCCATGATGACCGTTTTCAGGATCATCGACAACATAGTGCATTTCTGTCTCTATTTTCAAGGGTGGATCGTGTTCTTTCCCAGCATCCTGAAATAAAGCGTTCAAGATATCACTGTATCCACCCTTTTCGTCTCTAATATCAGGATGTGGCGAATCTGTTTCAAGAACTAGCATTCGAACCGGATCTTCGGATTCCTGAGTTGCCATTGTTATAAAACCCCCTCAATTCAGTCGAAATCTGTGCTGTGGTGGAATCACTCGAATTGAAGAGAACTGCTACTGTCTTGTTGCTCAATGATAGATTTTCTTCTTCGATCGTTACTGCGATGTATGGTGAGCAAAATATTCAGGACGAGGATTCGTGCTGTTATGTATCTGGGATATGTCTCATAGGCAAGACAATTCAAGTCATCATGGACAATGACGAGGCTCTCCATACAGATTAGGTTCGGCTCATAGCCAGTGCCGAGCAATGGCGCCAGCATAAAGGGCCATATTTCCCGTCATTTAGTACTCGGCAGAGGCTCTCCATACCAATTTTTATCAAGTTAGAAGAGAACGTTTGTCCCCGCACAAGACTAGAAACATTTCTATGACCTTATGCCAACTCCGGAAGCGAAGACGCTGGGCGTTTTAGTTTGTCAGTGACGTCGATCGATCGATTCTTCCTCAGCCATCTAGGCTAAAATAGGATACCAGTTTTCAAAACCTAGAAAATTGGAACCGTATTCCTGGTGTTCTTGGAACCTCTCTAGGAAGCATCGGCCAACATTTAAATGTTTGAAATTCAAAACGCCTTACTTTGTTGAATGATATGAATTTGAAAAAATGATCCAAGCTCGAGGGCTCAATGACTCTAATGAAATGGCCCTCGGAGTGGAGAAAGAGGCACCTTTTAATTTCATCATTTCACGTGCACTCCAAGTACCAAAACCATTTCGTAGTGGTTGATGTCCGGAAATGTCTTGAGGATCTGCAGCTAAGCCAGGATGTGGGTCTCGGGTCGGGATGTCCAATTTCGATATGGCAAAATTCCCCACCGAATCAACCGTGAAAAGAATCATCCGCTGGTGTGTGAATGGAAACGTCTCTCGGGACTGGCATCAGAGAATTCTTCAAAAGCTCCGTATAAAATGCGACGATCAATGACCTGTTCAGTTGATGAGACATGCATTTTCCATTAACGTGTCCATCTTTTCTTACCTTCACATACCTCTATCAATACACCAAGGTGTGTATTTGAAGTTCAATCTTCTTTGTCAGTGTGAAGGAATTATGCCACATGCTTATCTTAATACGAAGGTTGGAAGGGTAATTAATGTAAACCCCACTTTTACTAAAATCTTGCTGTTTTTATAGATTTTGCTGCTGCTTTAAGCGATTCGAATAGATATTGAGCTGTTCCCCCCAAAATTCAGTCTTTAAAGCTTTTACTTGCTTTTTATCAATTCTAATAGTTTTTTAGTATTTGAAGTATTTGAAGCTTCTGATAGGTTTTAAATAGATTCTAGATAGAATTTCGAATCAATATTCAATAAGAAATTAGTGATTTTGAATAAATCGTAGATAAAACGTGACTTTTACAATACTTCCACCACCTGGAGTTCACCATATAAATTTTCAACCAGCGACGTGATTCTATTGGTCCAAGGGCCAAAAGTGGGGACACATTTAGGTGCATTTTACATTACTTACCCATCCAACCTCCGTAAGCTGAATCTTGGGTCTGGGCGGGTACCTGTGTCATTCATATGAGTGATTCCACGAATTGGGGTAGACATACCCCCAGGACCAGGAATAGAAAGTGCAAGGACCTCATGCACGGCAGCTCCGACAATGTTATACAAGTATGTACCCAGTACATCGCCTTATCGGCACACTCTTCGTATTTCACGATGAGGCGGAATTCTGATTTTGGCTGGCAACTTGGAGAAAACCTGAACACCTATACACTTGCAAAGGCTATTGGGACACTAAATTTGAATCAGATTTTCGAGAGGTGTTGTCAAGCTTCGTTTCTCAAAAGTTTGTTGATTTTTTCAATTTAAATTGGAATGCCAAAAGCTTTCAGATATCAAGAATGGGAGTTCGGTTTTATCTCCCGGCTTGGATGACCCACCAGCTCCTTCAGCGTTCAATATATTCCGACAAGGGTAAAGATCAGCTGTATACTCGGTTGTGACGGACAAAAGAGCCATTTTGTCATGTTACATTTGAGCACATAGCCCTGCCAGAATCTTGGTGTTCTACAGCTGCATTAGTAGTCATCTCGACATTTTCTTCCAACACCGTCCGGAAAATGTTCTTAGTTATAACACCTCCACCGCAGCTAAAACGAGATCTTAGTACAGGAGAAGAAACGTCGATACCGCTACGAAAGCGAAGAGGATTGCCGAAAGTTCACTCGGGTTGTACAACATGCAAGTCTGCCTCCCTGACTAGCCTAATTATTTTGTCCCTATGGCTAACAAGCACCAGAACTCGACGGATTAAATGCGATGAAGGAAAGCCAGAGTGTAGTCGCTGTAAAATATTTTATAAAGGCACTTCTCAAGAGTGTGGCTATTTAACACGTGAAATTCCAAAATCTAGAGTCGCAACCAGGAGAACAATCCTACCGAAGGAGGTCGCGAATAATATTGGGCAATCACTCTTCAGTCATGGTCCAATAAAGAGCATTTCCGATATCAAATTCGAAAGTCCAAGACACTTCCAATATTTTCGGTTCTTCTGTAGCGATGTTACGATCCAAGTCTTTGGCGGATTTTATTCTGAACTATGGAGCAGTGTTATCCTTCAAGCATGTCATCAGGAACCATGTATTCTCCAGGCTGTTTGTGCAATTGGGGCTCTCAGTAGGGTCATGAAAGCACGCAAGCAGGGTCAGCTTATGGCGATGAATGATGATTATAGATTTGCCATACAGGAATATGGCAAAGCTCTTGGTGGAATCAAAAAGCTCAAACCTATCCGAATGACTTTACTTGCCACATTACTTATATTCTCCTTTGAGAACTTTCACGGAAATCGAATGGCGGCGATAACTCAGATTCAAAGCGCTGCAAGTTTACTTCAAGCATGGATGAAAGACCGCGAAAAGCGACAGGTAGCGGATCCAACATTATCACCAGCCCCAAATATCATTGAAGACGTCATTTTTGCCACGTTTCATAGCACGCATATTGGATTGGTTTCCGCCATCGATCCCACGATAGCACAAGCACAAGATATCATACATGGAACTCAAATGTATATTCCCAGCCTGATTCCAACGCGGTTTACAAGCATCGATGATGCGGGTGCAAATTTCACGTCAATTTGCAGGCAGGTCATCAGCTTTCTCATGAGCACAGTAACACTTATTCGAGGAGGAGAAGAGCCCACGGAAGAAGAAATATCAGATTCGGCGATATGGAATCATCGAATGCTCGATTGGTCTCCAGCAGCGGTTGAATTCAAGGAGATCTTAGACAAACTCGATCAATGGCAGATTGCTTTTGAGCCATTGGCCATGCGTGCCAGAGAAGAAGATGCCGACATTATGAGTATTCGTATGTTACGAGCGCACTGGTTAACAACACGTAATAGCTTTCATTCGGCTTTCTTTCCACAAACCCCAGCTCATTTCTATCAGTCCAGCTTTGAAGAGGTCGTGGAAATTTGCAAAATAGTCGCTGCCCACCCAAGTTTTGAAAAGGGATTTGTATTTCATGCTGGGATTATACCATCGCTTATGGCAGCGGCGATGTTCGGGGTTATTTCTACCCGGAAAAAGGCCATAAAAGTGCTTCTAGATATTGTACCTAGGAGAGAAGGTAATTGGGATGCTGCAATTTGTGCCAGAAATGCTATTGCTGCTCTGAGGATGGAATTTGAGAAATCGAAGCAGACCACTCAGGAAACGAATAAAGTCTTTGAAGATGTGTAGAATACAATGTCAGGATACCTATGCTAAGACATTAAAATTATTGGGTCCATCCTATCGTATCATACCCCAAAAGAGGATACATCCGGCATCAAGATGATAGGTATGTTGGCAGAATTGATAAGACCGAGGATCCCTCTTCCAGGGGAAGATCGGAAGACATCCCGTTTCTTTGGTTTTTGCACACCTTTGGATCAGCAGCACGTTGGGCCATTTGAAGCCGAGGGAATTTGGGTTTATGCACACATTATCTGCTCGCGCAACGGAAAGGGGCTTTTAGAGACTAATGTCGTGGATTCATTATTGCAGGCAATATGCAGCGAGTGTTTGTTGTTTTTCAAGCAGCGAGTTCGAAGTACATCCACTGAATACTGCTTCAGCATTTTACTTGCAAACAACTGGACACTAGTCATTGTTCAATTGGATCAGCTTGCGAATATTAATTTGTTATTCTTCTTCTTCCTTTTTAATTCTTGAAATTGTTCTATCTATTTCCAATCTTTTCTCGCCATTTTCCCAATTCTGTTATGGTTATTTGAAGTGTAGTAGATATCTAATAGTATTCAAAATGATGTATCAGATCACCTTGGAATATTGAGATCTTTTTCTGGATCATTGATTTAGAATCTTTCCAATATATTACCATAATTGCCTGATAGCTGAATCTATTTCTTTTGTTTGTTTTTTGAAATACAAATGATTAGGCAGGAGACTCCTCATGTACCTAATCAAAAACGAAAAAAAAAGTGTCAAGTCGCACAAGATGATGCTGGTATCCGATAGCAACCAACAAAAAAAGCAAAACCAATATACACCAAGTTTCATGGACAAGTTCTCGCAGGCAGCATACCCACATACCCACATGTCTACATCAAGAATCTATCGGGTTTCAGTCCGTGCGAGTACCCCGCTATTGTTGCGGGAGAAACGTTCAATTGTGAATATCTTGAGAAGAAAATCTGGAGAATTCAATGTATTTGAAGTATCTTTGGGATAGGGAAGAATAGAGAACAATTACAACCATTATCTTCGATTAGTCGAACTGGTTCAGAAATGAAGGGTCTGCTGTATAGAATAGATTGGAACTTGGCTCAATCAAAAATATTTATTCCTCACTGTGTTATGACCGGTATAAGATAAGGGCTTGACATTGAATTAATCGAATCTATTCAGACTTTGAACAATAGACAACATCAGGCTTGCAGGATTTCTAGATTACTGAAACCTGATTTCCCTATTGGCGCTCTTTCCTCCCGCTTCTTTTGGCTGCTCAGAATTCACTTATTTAAAGTCCCAAATCTCGACCCATTTTCGCACATCTTTCTTCTCCCCCACAACCTCAACAACCTTTTACAACCTCCATTAACTTCAACAATACTTTGATCAATCATCTATTTTCATCTATCGCATAGCATTCTTGACTACTGTGAGTACTTTTCCTATTCCCATTATCACTTTCTTGAATAGAAATGATCCTGGTCTATGAGTTATTGATACTGATTTGGATTTCTAGATCGTCGTCGTCGATATCGCACAAGGCGCACTCTACATAGCAACCACACATAACAACAAAACACCCAACCAAGTATGTTATTATTCTCTTCCTACAATAACTTTTTATACTCGACCATTCCCATCCATCAATACTCTGTTCTTGTCAATCTTGACGAATACATTTTCCTTACAATTGTCGCCAAGTGCGCTGTTTGAGTCTCTCGATCTTGTTCACCTTTACTTGAGCATAATGAGAATTCACTGTTGATCACGCACTATCGATAATTCTTATCGTCGTTGCCTTTTCTCTCTCATCTCCTCTCCCACTTCCTCTTTCTTTTCCAATCATACTTTTCCACCTCCTACTCTTGTACCTTGTACGTGCTTTTGTTACCGTGACTTACCAGTCTATTCGACTATTCAAACTCAAATAACCATACTGATACATTTATCTGCAGACCTTCCAATACCGCAATCATGCCAAATTGGAAAAGCTATGAAGCAACCGGTTTGTCCAAACGATCACCTTTCTTACATCTATACTCACACGATGTTAGTTCGCCTCCTCAGCGCCATTGTGGCTGCACACCCAACTCTCAAACTCGATTACGCTGGTTAGTAAACAATTTCATTAAGAATTCTCCCTCTTCAGTTTTGGCCTTCACAAGTTCAATAATTCTCCATCTTCTTTCTTTTGTCTTTGATCCCTGATTTTACCAGCAATATCCAAATACTACGGAGATGAGTCAAATTATCATCAGATTTGGCGTGGTATGAATGGCATAAAGCGTAATGCCGAGAGCCTCCGAAAAGCAGTCGATGCAGGTCTCAATGCCTCTACCGTCAATCTCGAGAACGATTTTAGCGTTAAGAAAGGTATCATTCATCATGGAGCATAAGTTATTGTTCATCACTCTTTTCTTCATGCACAATGAAAATTTTCACGGATAATTCTGCTCGTTCGTGTATTGATTTTCATACAGCAATCAGCATTCGCTTTGGTGGAGATTGCACTGCCTCTGCACTTGACAACAGATTTAGGCGTTTGAAGTCTGATGCTAAACTGATCAACGCTGCCGTTGCCAGAGGAGAAGATCCTATCCTCATGAATGTTGGCGATACAAATGGAGAGGTTGCCTGCAAGGGAAAGGGTGGGAATGAGTTGATGTTTTTTTCGTCTTTCAAGTTCCATATCACAAGAGCACAGATTTGTCCCTTTTTGCCTACACTAATGCTGTATTAGCGATTTCCGTGCTTATGGGATCAGCAACTCCAGCTAGTCACATCCAATCGCAGCTTCGAGAAACCATCAAACCTCTTGGTGAACGCTTGATTGCCATGCGTGATGTCGGCGAGGACTGCAAAGATGTCGATTTGACAGACTTGGGTACTCGCCGATATAAGGCTGGTCAGGAAGTTCTGTCTATGTTTTCGAGACTGCTCTCACATCTTCACACAGCACCCATCACCTTTCCTTGCTTTTGAAATCCACTGATATCCCTTAGAGATTGCTGCAAAGATGGGATCAGATGTTACTCCTATTAGTGTTAAAGCACAGTTCAGTCGAAGCTTCAGAGTTTTGGGTGCTCGTCAAAATGCTTTATTTGCTGTTGGCAAAGACCCCAAGGATGCCAGTTTGGACAAATTGGGTAGTCAACAGAAGTCTGGTGATATTTTCATTCTTAGGAAAAGCTCTGTTCATATTTTGTGGAACATTACCGTATCTTCTCAACACACCAATCACACTTTCTTTATGTTTGCACAGAAGTGATTTTAAGTCCAGAGGTTGCCAAGTACATGGGCTCGGATGTCACTCCCATAGCTATCAAGATCAAGTTTAATGCAACCATCAGAGCTCTTTCCCGTCGTCAAATAGCTTTGTTTGATGCCGGTAAAGATCCTTTGGATGTCTCGTTGAGCAACCCGAAAGGTGGTCAGAAGTTCTGTCAACAATTTGCTCCTGGCTTTTGTGATCATGTTTCGCTGCATTGACTTTTTGATTTTCGTTCTGTTTGAGCACCACTGATATCACGTCATTAGAGACTGCTAGGATTATGGGATCAGACACTACTCCTTCATCTCTCCAGAATCACTTTCGTCGGACTGTCAAAGTTCTTTGCAAACGTCAGATGTCGATGCTAGCAGCAGGTCAAGATTCTATGGAAGTCAGCCTTGATGGTCTAGGAGGTGGTCAGAAACTCTGTGATCTATTCTACAGTTTTTATGAACAATTTTATCACAGCACAGCACAACACAACACATACATCCTTTCAATCGCATTTGGCCAGCACTGATACCTTGAATATTAGAGATCGTTGCAATTATGGGATCAGATGTTACCGTTGATGCTATTAAGCAACAGATTGGCAAGCGTATCAAGGTTCTTGGCAGTCGCCAAACCAAGATGCGAGCAGCTGGTCAAGATCCCAAGAGGGTTGATCTGGAAGGTTTAATGCCTGCCAAGAAGGAACAAGGTGGTCAGGAATTCTGTCTATCTTGATTCTTCGTGTTTTTTCTTCTATTATTATCAAACATCACCTAGCTCTATGCAATAACTATTACATGATGCCCATGGCTGATCAATTGCAGAAATGGACAAATTCATGGGAGATTCCACTATGAACGGTCTTCGATTTCAATTCGATACTCGTTACAAGGTCATCGCCAAACGTCAGAAAGCCATGTTTGCTGCAGGCGAAAATCCTTCAACGGTTGATATTGTCACTGGCGGCAAGACTGGTTAGAAGTTCTACCATGTTTAATTGACAGTTTTCGATCTATTTCATCTTACACCTTTACACACATATTTATTTCAAGCACATATTAACTTTCTCCCAGAAGTTCAAAAGTGTTTTGGTTCAGATGCTACTGCTGGTGGAATCAAATTCCAATTTGCAACCACCATCAAGAAGCATGTCGACCAGATTCGCAGTGCGAGAGCTGCTGGCAAAGACTGCAAAGATATCACATTCAATTCCAATGGTCTCTTGATTTACACATTTCATTGCGGGCATTAAATACATGCACATTTCCCTAGCACTCCACACCCGTTTTGTTCTCAATATTAATGTTGGTTAACAGAAATGGCGAAGCACTTCGGTTCGGACACAGACGTCAGCTCAATTAAATGGCAATTTCGCGGCATCAGAGCTGGTGCTAAGATCCAAAAAGATGCAGTGCTCAACGGAAAAGATCCCAAGGACTTTGACGTAGCTCTGAATCCTGATCCTAGAAAACGCGGCAATAAGGGCGAGTGTTCTTTGAAAGCGATATTGTTTCGTTAATATTTCCTTTAATTTATGTTCCGTTACACAACAACATGAAGAACACATCATTAATCTCTCCAACCATCTAGAAATTAGCAATATGTTCGGCAAGGACTCCACCAAAGGCGGAATTGAATTTCAATTTCGAGCTTTAAAAGCCAATGCACATCGCCAGCGCGAAGCTTTCAAGGCTGGAATTGATCCACAAACCCTCAATATTGGTGCTAACAAATGCGAGAATTTCCCCGTTACCTCATCCTCAATTTCATTTCGTCACTAGCACATACCTTTCTTTAGTTTTGAGAAACTCAGATCAGATATTAATGTACATCATAGCAATGGCAAAGTGGTTGGATGATGGCACCACCGTATCTTCTCTGGAGCATCGATTTCGACCCATCAAAGCTGCTGCTAAGAATGGTTCTTGCTATTCCTAACTCCCTCCATCCTCGTGTTGATTTTACACACCCACGCCTTCATATTTCATTTTGTCATCGACTGTTCATCACTACCACTCATCTATTGGAGGAATATCTCACTAACATCTTTCAGCCACCGCCGAGAAATTTGGTGATGGTGTTACAGGTAAGGCTATATCCACTCGCTTCGAAAGGTATGTATCCGCTCTGTTCCCTTCATTCAAAAATAGAAGAACTAACATAAACAACAGAATGCGCAAAGAACCCGCTTGGGATCTCAACTCTCCACTCGGTACTAATGATTCCCTAGGTACGACCCCCAAGAAGGCTCGTGCTCCTCGCTCAGCCAAGAAATCCACCAAGAAAGCCGCTGCATCCAGCAACGAGGAGGGCGATGATGATAGTGACATGGAGATTGCTACGCCATCCAAGAAGGGCTCTCCAGTCAAGAAGGAAACAATCAACAAAGTCAAGGGCGGCCGCGTCGAAAAGAAGCCGGCAACACCCAGCCGAGCTGCAAAGACTAACATCAAGAGCTATGTTGATTCCGATGACGAGGGCGACGACGATCTGATCATCAAGGATGAGGATATTGGTGCTTATGATTTTGGTCGCGCTGCGGATGGTGATGAGGATATGCTTGGTGGTGGTGGATTTGGGGGTGGAAACGGTCATAGTTATGGTCACGGTCACGGTCTCGATCTTCGTCTTGCTCATGGAAACGGAGGTGATGAAGTTGAGGAGGATGAAGATGTTTTCTACGACGATGAGTCTTAGATTTTCGCAATTGGGGAGCGACCTTCTGCGTGGGATGGAGTATCTAATGCCGCGATGACGACACAGCGATCACAGAGTCAAACTACGATATTCGGGATCCTGGATACTCTACTTTCGTTGCTAAGATATCCACAACAACCCTCTTCATCGTCTCAACTCTACGCCCATTTTCGACATTTTCGTTTCCTCGCTTTTTTTTCACGCAAATACTTTACGATTACATTTCGGAGGACCTCATCTAATTATGCTTTCGACTTGCGACTTTCGACTTTCGATTTACAATTTTTTCTTCCACAGTTCACTTCATGAACTCGATTCCTTCCTCGCCTCCTTCGCTATTCAATCAATTCGCATCGCAGAAATTTCCCTCCTCTTTTTCACCAAGATATCGAAATTTTGCTCTAGTCATCTCATCTCATCCAACTCATCCAATTCATCATCCTCTCCTTCTCCGACACCCACAACAAACAACAAGTCGATGAGCTCTCTCTCAAAAGAGAAAAATCAAATGTTGTTATGATAGCATGCTTGCCAACACTCCCGCAATCCAGCATTCTCAGACTCGGTTTTGATTTCTCGCGTGGGGGGTGTGATATATTGCGATACATTGCGATGGTTACGATAGGATGGGATAGGATGGACACAACTGGTTGCGAGTTCTCTATCTATTTCGATTCGATTCGATCCGATCCGATTCAATTCGATTTTCATTTCATTTCATTTCATTTCCTTGGTTCGCTTCAGATGGTTCATATTTCTTCCTTGCTTCATTCATTCATTCATTCAGTCCGGTCTGGATAGTCGGTTAGTCAGTTATTCAGTTAGTCGTTTCACCAATCATTCGATCACTCATTCATTTACTTCAGAATGATGATGATAATGATAATGATGATAATGATGATGATTATGGTGGTGGTTTATTTCAAATTTCAAATTTCAAATTTTCCAATTTTTCAAGGAAGGATATCATGGTTTCATTCACTTCATTCCATTTATTCATTCCCAATTCTCACAATCTCAGATTCTCAGGAAAGATGATTTTGAGCGGTAGATGGATAATAGCTAGCCAAACACTTGACGGACGAATCATTTCATTTCTTCCGAATCGGGAATTACGAATATTAATTATGGTTACCTAATGACAGTCAGTAATTACAGAATGAATAAAAAGTTTTGCGAGTTTTTGTTACTTTCGAGTTTTAGATCTCGGGGTTTTGGGTGTGAGGTGTGTGTTGAATCGTATATAAATGTGATAAATGTGATTGTGTGACATGAGTGAGAATTCTCTCTTAAAAATATTCGAAAAAATAGAAGAAAATAGTTTTCCAATAAACTCCAAGTCAATAATAATGAAGCAAGAAAAAGACAATTAGAAGTTCTGAGAAAAACCAATAAACTTTCAAATCTTCTAAATTCACATAATCAAGAAATCCAATTAGAGTCAATCAATCCTATAATTCTCCTATACGCCCAACACCTATAACTAATCCCTCCCACCAATCATGCAGCCGACGATTTCATTCAAAACCTCAAGATGCATCCAAATACAAAGCAGCCATCGCATTCAATATCCATCCTGATCCGATTTCCCATCTCAAGCCACCATCCCTTCTAATTCAAAAGGACATCCCACAATCCCTCTCCCTCCACATAAGCATGATGAATAACATTAACCAACCAAACATCCTCCTTGATTCCATCAATAATCTTCCTCGTTTGACTATCCTTCCCATAAACTCTTGCCCACTCTCCCCAAATGCCAAACGCTTCTTCCGCCCATGCCCTAAAACTAACCTCCTCAATAATCGTTGGTGTAATGATTTCTTTGCCAGGGAATGCACCCCATGTTACTGCATTTGTGCTTCCGACTGCTTCATCACTGGATATGAAATCTCCTTTGGCATTTGAGGCGTAGAAAGAGACTGTGTCCCGCAGTTCAGGGGATGTGAGTTTAGCATGTAGGGTTTTCCAATCAGCTGTTGGAAGGAAGAGTTCTACGAATGCCTTTTGGAATACGAATCCATTCTTAGGTCCCCATCCAAAAATTGAGTCTGAGGATTTGAGTCCGTTGACTGCAGGTTGGGAGGCTACCGTCCACCAACCCTTCTTATTGAGACTGAGGAGCTGCTTTTTGATAGAGTTGGTTTCTTCATTGAGACCTTCCTCACTCCAAGGAATGGCGGTGAGTTGACCTTCTAGATGACGAATGAAGATGTCCGTGATATCAGCTCTGGAACTTGGATGGCCCCAAAGTTTGATAGCTTGGTTAATGGACATGTGAAGTGAAACACCGTATCCATCAATCTCTCCATAAGCAGGAGAACGAGCATCACCCCAACGACCGTTAGGAAAGTCATCCCATGTGGCCTCTCGACCAAGACTACCTTCTCCTTCACTAATTGCAAGAGTATTGGCTCGCGAGTTGACAGCTTCAGCTGGAATACCAGCTTCTTGTGCTGTGGCTTCAAAGCTAGGATTGGAGGTTTGAGGTGCAGTAATTATAATGCGATTGTAAGGATCAGATCCAACAGATGATCGACGTCTGGAGCTACGTTTGTGAGAACCACTATGGATAGACATTAAATCTGCAATGTCTGGAATGGTAGGAACAAATTCTGGTTCCAAAGCGGCGACGGTTTCAGCGTCTGGAATAAGTTCTGTTCGTTCCAGAATAAAAGATACCGCCTTCTCCAAATTGAGGGTGTAGAAATGGAAACCTCTGGGACCCGAGTACTGAGATTTTGTGCCCTTCAAATGTTCGACCATTTCGCTCAAAATATCCACTCCGACCTTTTTAACCATCTCATCATCCCCGCGAACCGCATCCAATCTTGTTATAATAGTTGAGGGTAGTTTCGCGTGGCTAAGTTTCGTAGTTCGCTTGATCATTTGATAACTTTGAATTGGCATCATGCCAGGTATAATAGGAATATCCTTAAATGCGCCACTTGGATGATCTCGTAGCTTTTGTTCAAATCCGTCGTATGCGTCGACATCGAAAAATAATTGTGTCATGATAAAATCCGCGCCCGCTTGAACCTTCTCCACCAGGTATGGCAGATCATGTTCAAGGCTTTGACCCTCTGGATGTCCTTCATCCGCATGTCCTTCTGGGTATGCCGCCACTCCAACACAAAAGTAGTCGCCGTATTGTTTTCTAATATATCGTACCAAATCGATTGCCCACTCAAACTCCCAATCCATAGCAGGCGTATCACCATTCTTCTCGTCAATGGCACGGTATTCCTCACTCCTTGGGGGATCGCCCCTCAAAGCCAATATGTTTCTAATTCCCAATGCCTTTGCATCTTCCAATGCTTGATCCACCAATGCTCGGCTCATGTTTGTGCAAGTCAAATGTAGACACGTTGTGAGGCCCAAATCCCTTTGACATAACTCTGCGAGTTCTAAAGACTTGGTCGCCGTAGATCCGCCAGCACCCCATGTAACGGTGACAAACAAAGGCCTCAATGCTCGAGACATTCTGTCAAGACGAGCACGTAGATTCGAAGAACCCATTGAGGTCTTTGGTGGAAAGAATTCGAGGGAGAAGTAATTGGTGTCTGGGGGCAAAGCCGCGATCTTTTCTGTGATTTTCTCCATTTTGTTGTGATTCCTATTACGCAGATGCTCTATCAAATGCGATTATTCGAATTTGTCGTTGAATTGATGAGGTTATCTCTTGTTGTATTGTATATTTGAAATTGTTCGTTGGTTTTATATCAATGTAGGTACGGTAAGGCTGGCTGATTTGATGAATGGCGGGGCTACTATTTTTTCTTTCGGTGGGATGTGATGAGGGCGATCAAATGACACGAAATACGGCACTAAAACCTGATACAATTGGTGATTTCGATGCACTGCAAGCCAACGAATAAGAGTGAACTTAAAACATTCTTGCAGAATTACTTTGAAATATATCTTCATTCTAGATTTAATACCAAATAATCTTCCATGTCAGGTCACAGAAAACGTCATTTGTTTATACAATTGCTTCAATATGTTGTGCCGTCGTAAATATGTACTCTGCAAGACATGCAGCTTACAGGTTACAGATAAGCCGTGATTGTAGTTGATCAAAGGATTCGTCAAAGAATTCTTCAAGGTCACGCTAAGATGGCGGTACCTTTCCTTGTATAATAATATTGAGCGTTGATCGATGTTTTGTTGTCGAGGATTCGATGAATTGTTATAACAGGAAGTGTCGCAAACATTCTGTCAGGCTAGCCAGTATTTAATATTATATAATTTCATACTGCATCAAAGTGCTAGCAACTTGTAACAGCAGACTTGTGGAATTATTCTATCTATCTATAAAAGTCAGACGTATTGTACAATTGTAACCCGGGTACTACCATACTTTACAGCCTTTTGCAGATGGACCTACATCCAGATCCTAACTCTACCCAAGTCCCTTAACAAATCTTATTCTCTTAATCCATTGACACCCAAAGAGATGCCTTTGTGAATCCATTCCCGAATCCTCTTGCCAAGTACTCCTCTTAACCCATATCTTCCTATTACCTACGAGCAGCAACTTGCAAGTCCCCCAAAACTCTCTCTACAATATCCCTCTTCGGAAAATAATCCATGTTGAAATAATCCATCCAAACTTTGCGGCAAGACCATGTTTGGAAAAATGAATTTGTTACCCAAGTTGGATATATAATAGATGGCAGTGGTGGCGGGCGGTTAGGATCAGGAGGTATAATCGCAGTCGAAGTATAACCCCAGTATTCATAAGTGGTATACCTAGTCTTGCGTGGATTGCGGCTGACGGTTTTGATCTTCCCCGACAAGGTGAAATCATCTGGTGGAGGAACGCACTCGGGTCGTGGAACGGTGATGTACGGATCTTCTTTTCTCTTGGCGAGCCAACGACCAGCTGGTAGGTCTTCAGGCTCTGGAAGCTGTTTGGTTGGTGCGTGGATAACTTCGTTTTCGATTGGAGATTTTGGAGATAAATCTTCTAAATTCGAAGCACGCGTAATAGTCATAAGAGTTGTCGATTTTATGACGCTTCCAATTTGTGGTGTAATCTGCGCCTGGAGATGGTCGCTAGTTTGTGATGCAGTCTCAGTCGGTTTTTGGAGACCACTACCACTCTCTTCTGCAGTCGGCTGTCCGAAAATATCGCGAATGGGCGATGCAGTAACTGCGCCTTTTAGAATTGTTGCTGCGGAGGTAGGAGTCGCAAGTGCCAATGGACCTTTTGGACACGAATCTTTGATACATCGGTAGGTACCTTCGCGGGTTGTAGATGCATTCTTAAGGACATGGATTGACACAACAAATTCATGGCCTTCGTCATTGAAGGTGGCCATCAATCGACGAATAGCAACTTCTTCATTGGTGCAGCGTTGCATAAGAGCCCAATCTTCTCCAGTGTTCATAGTATTGACACTTCCACACTGCAAAACGATCTCTTGTTCATTGATTCTTACCCAATCAGCCTCATCATATTCCTCGAGATCATGTACTGGTACGAGTTTGAGGTCCTTAGGGTCGATATAATGTGGCTCTTGTCTACCAAGTTGAAAATTTATTGTGGCGTCATCGTTGATGCCGATTCTTCCATGAAGATTGCTCAAAAGGTGAGTTATGGTTTGATAATGAACAAAAAGCATTTGATTCTCTTCAGAAAATTCGATTGAAGCTTGATTGGAAGGAAATGCATCATGGGAAGCAACTGCATGACTTGGGCCCACGAGGACTGCAAGGCCAGTCGCACAGATGAGGGTTGATAACAACATCTCGGAGTTTGACTGTCTGGTGTGTGCGCGTAAGAGTTTGTGTATGAAAAGAAAGAAGAGTTGAGCATGTACGTAGACAAGACTTTATATATGTATATTTTGCTTTGGGGGGGGGGGGGGGGGGGGGGAAGGATCAAACACTTGTCATAACGTCACCGTCCTTAAATTTTAGCCATACTTCCAGTGAACTATCTACTATTGAAAACTAAGATGGATGTAGCTTCATAATTAGAAGAGTGGTCACGAGATCAATTCTGTTATTCTCCTATCAAAACTCTTATAGTAGGATACTAGCATGGGACGATCTTGCTTAAAATATCGATATCTATCAAACTATGAAGTGAATAACTCTTAAAAGTCTTTGGAAAGCTAAAGAATAGTGAAAAGGGAAAGAAATAGAGAAGTGATGGCCAACTAAGACTTTAGCTCAACGTTTGACGTGACTCCAGAGCTCTCTAGCTCTCTCCTAGCAAATTCTCGGCGCAAAATAGGTAAATTGATCATCACTTGATGATTCTGGTATGTGTTCATTAATGAAACAGCTAAAGGATCTAGAATGTCAGAATAGCAAAGAGATAGGACAGAATCAGAGTATTTTTAGTTTTGGATAATGCTCAATATCGTTTGTACTCATGCAAATGATGAAGATGAAAATACATGAATCAATGAAATCGTAGGTATGTCTAGCTATCTACCTAGTCTCTGAAAGGATTAGCGAAAGCTGTCATATCTGCGATGACTAATACAAATTCCTTATCTTTCTTTATCAGTGAGTAACACACCGAGAGACCTCTCTAATCGTCGGCGCGTAGATATTACCCCTCCATACAAAGAATGATTGCATAAAGTATAACTTCGTTAACATGAGGCAGCTGAGTTAAGTTTTTTCTATAAGTTTGGTAGGATATTGAAAGATTTTTTTGGTTCCTCTTGTCATTCTTTCCATCGTCGCATCTCTGTCACTTATCTTCGTCTTGACATCTCCACATTCACTCTACTGGGAAGTCAGTTGATAGGCAATATCAAGAGGAGGCTTACCATTTCTACATACACAAGTTTGATATCAATGGCAGCAGGAAACACAGATATGACAGAGCCAACCCTCCCCGAAACTTACAATGCATTCTTCTACGGCACTCTCGTGAGTCTCTCCTCTTTCTCTCTCTCTGATTCTTACACTCGCTATTTGGTCTCCGCCTTCAACTCTTCCTCTACCTTTTCCACCCTCTGTTCTTCTACTATCACTAACTCTTTATCTCAATTAGATGGCCCCCGAAGTTCTCTACCGCGTGATCTACGGTGCCTCCAATCATCCTTCTACTTCTCTAACCATCACTCCCGCCCTTCTCCATGACTACTGTCGACACCGTGTTAGATTCGCTGACTATCCGGCCATAATCTCCGAACCAGGTCATACTGTCCGTGGTACCTATGTAACCGGTCTTACGCCCTCCAACATGCGCAATCTGGATTACTTTGAAGGATCTCAATATGAGCGAAAAGTAGTCACTGTAAAGATCCTGACTCCAAAGGATAAAGAACATGTACACGGTGTCAATGCAATCATGGCCGAAGCTGTTGAAACAGGAGAAGAGAAAGAAGCCCAAACATATGTCTTTACAGATTTGGATGCATTGGAGAAAGGAGAATGGGATTTCGAATTCTTCAGGAGAGAGAAATTGAGAAATTGGGCGGATGAAAGTGAGGAGTATGCCGGTTTGTGAACACGCTCTCTTTGTCATGAAGGGGAAGATCTCACTAAATTCAGGAATCTAGAAGTTGATGCGAAGGCTGCGAAAAGTAACGAGAGCGAAATTGGGATTCATGATTTCCTTGATCAACCAGATCCTACTGGCGGGCGGGGCATCAAAACGGATATGGGAAAGGAGTTAAAGGAGTTGGCGGATAAAAAGAGAGAGGAAGAATGGATTTTGGAGGAAAAGAAGAGAATTGCAAGAGAGAGGTCGAAGTGCCAATGTACTATCGGATAAATGAGCATTCTTGGTTGGTTTGGGATTTGGGAAAATGCACAAAATTGAATGTTGGTGCATTGGGTGTCTAGCATTTCGTTGTTGGTAGAAGAATTGTGGTTGTGCATAGAAGGTAGCTGGTCACCTTCCCTTTTTTTCAGCACTGAAAATGGAGCACAGGAAGGATAGATTTAGAATTTGCAGGCAAATGATACACATTCATTGCATAATCAAGCACTGGAAAATACCAATTTCTTAGTTATATCCTCCCTATAAAGTTCTTCACTTGTCAACTTTTCATCGCACCTCAATGTCAATAGGCGTATCTTATGTTTTGACAAGTGTCATAAATTTCTTGAAATAGAAGGCTAATTTACTACATCCAGTAACTCCACCTTATTACATGCACCTTCATCTATAAATGCGCCATCGCAATGCCCGAATAAAATAGAAAAGAAATCTATCCCCCGCTACCTTCCCTAATTTCCAAACTCCCCACCCATGTAAACATCACATCATATCAGTTCAAGCAGCCCACTGTCTCATCCACAGCTCCATCCAGCTTCCATTAACCGGCTCCAATTGTCTCAAAGTCTCACTCTTGGCAACTGTCTTCTCCGTCTCTAAATTCGCAAGCGGAGCTCCCTTGCCCAACCCCTCGTAAAATTCCAAGAGTTTGATACCCCGATTCTGAGCGATTTCTCCGCGCTCGGCGGATTTGCGGAGGAGGGCGACCCATTCTTCCCAAGAGACGATCTTGCAGTCTGCGCCGATTTGGGAGGCGAGAATGGGGGAGATGGTGGACCAGGTTATGGAAGTGGGGTTTACGAGGTGGTAGAAGGCGGTTTGGGTGGAAGGGGAAGAGGAAGAGGGTTTGGAGAGATCGGCTAGGTCGAGGATTATGTTAGAGAGGATGTCAACGGGGACCCAGTCGATACGGTTCATGGCTGCGATGGTTGTGGGAACGGCTTTCATGTATTGGGATGTTGAGACGATCTAGGATGTTTTGTTAGGATTCTGCTTCTTTGTCTCTTCAAAGGGGAGATGAAAACTTACAGTAGGGAACCATTCCTGGATATTCCATCTTCCCTTCTCTTTCCTCACAGGTCCAGAGACCTGTCCAACACGAAGTACTTGCGTGCGTACACCACCAACTTTATTAGCTTCCGCCAAAAGCACCTCAGAGATAAGTTTCGAAGAACCATATCCCATAGCCGCTGCATTCCAATCATCGATGATAAGTTCTGGAACAGGCTTTTCCCAATTCTTTCCTTGTGTAACACCGATCGATGAGATGAAGGATAGAATAGCGTTGTTCTTGCTTTGGGCCGCGAAATCAATCAAGTTTCGTACACCTCGGATGTGAGGTTCGAAAGATGCAAGACTTAAGTTAAAGTCTACTTGCCATTGGTTGTGAATGATATGAGTGGTATTGTTCAACAACTCATCATATGATTCCTGGTCGAGTCCGAAACGTGGTTTCGACATGTCTGTCTTGAAGAATGTAACTTTGCTGAAATCAGTGTTGAGACCATGGCTTGAGCTGGCTCCTCTTTGTCTCTCCTCGCCATTGACGGCTCGGTTAAGTGCATAGACTCTGGAGATGTGAGGTAGGGCGACTAAATCGTCGAGCATGTAACTACCCATAGATCCGGTACTTCCTGTCAAGATGACGGAAATCTTAGCATTTGAATCTTGAGCAGCGGTACCAGAAGTCTTGGTTGGCAAGTCTTTGGCGTATTTCTCAAACATTGCTTGTCTCTCATCGAAGTCGGTTTTGGAAGAATCTTCTTGGTTTTCCAATGGATGAGCGAGTTTGAAGACAACTGATGCGAGAGATTTGACGGTTGGGTTTTTGTAGATGGTGCTAGCTTGCAACTTCTCGGTTTCAACGTTATCCTTCTTTAAAGCTGATCGCAATTGTCTCAAAAGAGTGAAAACGAGTAAAGAATCGAATGATCCGCTTGCAAAGACGTCCTCATCGACACTAAGCTCATTAACGCTAGCTATCTTGGCAACCAAATCCTTCAATGTAGAAGTCAATGATTCTAAAGAACTAGTATCGAGACCGCTATCATCACCACCTTCTGTGTTGGCGAAGAGCTCTTCAATTTCCGGTTCGTAAAGTTTGATAGTTGCTGCACGTTGAACAGTACCCTTTCCAGCGCGCAAGAATGGCTTTTCGGGTTTAGCAAACATCACAAAGCCATCTTTGATTTGACCGTGGCTTGGTGAGCCTTTGTTTGCAGCGTCGATGAAAGGTTGAATACGAGAGATCAAGTCCTTTTCATTGTCTTCGGTTACTTCTACCGGGTTGATCAACTCGATAATGACAGCAGGTTGGAAGCGAGCTTGACCAACAACGATTGCTGAGCGGACTAATTCGTGTTCGTTGATGGTTTGTTCCATTGTGACAGGATTCAGCTTCTCGCCGTTTGAGAAGACAATGATATCATCTGCTCTGCCACGATAGAGCCACATGTCCGGCTTTGTGGGGTGTTTCGAATATAAATCATTTGTAGAAATTTCATTGAGTTCGGGGAAAGTATGAAACATTCCTTGTAACTTTTCCAACTTTGGATCTCGGACAACAAGCATTTCATAGAGACCGTCACCTCTCTCTACAAATTTGAGACCATTATTGGCGTGAAATTTGAAATATCTCCAATCCTCTCTTCCTGGCCAAATGAGTGCGAAAAGGCTAGCTTCTGTGCTTCCAATCAGATTGTGAAGAATTGTGATTTTTGTGAGGATGTCTCCAGCTTTTTGTCCAACTGGTCCACCGCCAAAGCAAATGTACTTGATGTTCTTCTTTTGAATCAACTCTAGACTCGAGGAAGAGAATGCCAATTCTTCGACTGTTGATGGAGCAAGCATCAGAGCATCAACGCCAGCATGCTCAACCATGTCGTCCACCAAACTGGGGGTTACTGGAGCTAATGGTGATGCCGACACAATGTGAATGTCGAGGAACAACGCGCTGAAAAGATTTATATAAACACCAGCAGCATGGAAAGCTGGGAAACTTGAAAAGGCCTTAGATCCTCTCCACCAATCCGATTGAAGGGCTTCTCCATTTTCGCATTTCACCAAGCTTTGGGCGTCAAGAACCGCACCTAAAGCGTGTCGAACAACAATAGGCTTAGGAAGACCTGTTGATCCAGATGTGTGCAAGACAAGAGTAGGCTCCTGAGATGCCTCTGCCCATGTTTTGTTGTAGGCATAATGTGGAACTGGTGTTTCGTCGAGGAAGAAGTCGAGTTCTGGACAGTCGAGAACAGTCATAGGATGGACCTTAAGGACTTCACGGATATTACCAGTGCTGTGGCTAGGTAGTAACCAAATGTTACACTCGGCTTGTTTTATGACATTGAGATGTCCTTCGATACTGTTTCTTGGGGAATTGAGGAGGATCTTGTAGCCAGCCTTGACGAGTGCTATGGCAAGGATTTGATATCTCAGATCCCCTTCGAAATAGTTAGCACATAACCTTGAGGTGATCGGATATATATTCTAGATTTACCTGGACCAACATATCCTACGGATGGGAAGTTCTTGCCCTTTCCAAGTAACTTCTCAATCCACCAAGCAGCTCTGTTCACCGCGTTGGCGAGGCGCTTTTGTGATACTTCGACGAAACCATCTACTGCTTTGGTGGTTTTCGCATAAGAATATATAATACGATTAGGATCGCTTCCAGCCTTTTCGTCAACCAAGGTTGGTAGTAAGCGCTGTCCGTAAGCTGGAGTTTCTCTTTGAACAGAGCCCATGTTTATGTGATAATGTATAATAAGTCAAGTAGTAAATAGGAAGATTTGTTTGGTTTATTATTATTGGAAGCAAGAATTTCAAGTTTATTGTAAAAGCTGTAAGAAGATGATAATAAAATGATAATGATGATGGAGTAAAAGGAAGATTTTGATGCTCAGGATTGAGATGATACTTATATCTCCAAAGCCCCCTATAAATTGGAGACTTTTCACCTATCTCATGAATGAACGACGACATATCTCACACCTCCATTGACACCCACCCACACATGCTCAAAATCGGAGTGTATTCGATAGTTAATTGTGTTCCGATCCGCCTGGCGGGTATGTCGGAACTTACGATATGATCCATACAAAAGTCAACAAAAGCCCTCACTGATGACGGCTGTGGCGTCCATCAAGCTTTTCCTAAGAACCGCGGGAGAAAAGTGCCGCCCATGAAGATGGTTAATTAGCTCATCGTTACGATTGAAGCCAGCATCAGCCTTGAAGTGATGATGCAAAAGATCAGATGTGGAGTTTGTGAATGGAAATTTGCCGATCTACCCTCTCCCAATCCACACAAGCTTCTCGAAGCCTTTACAGACAAGGTCGCCTTGATAATCATGCAAACAGTGCGGAGTGCTCTTGGGTACTAACGCCGGCAATCAGAAAAGGAAATCGGCGTTGTCACACAAAATGGTGGGTCAACCATCGAAGAAAATACCAGAATCCAGATCAAACTGGATCAAGAGTTCGTTACCAAAAAAAGGATTGGTAGGCTTTCACGTGATATTGCCGAAAGAATCCCGTTGATATATTGGAGAGACTGAGAGTAAAACATTTACTAGATATGATGGACTGAACTACCAGACGTAACCCACCTGCCTGCATAAATGCTTGAAATTCTGCTCAGTGCTTCGTTTACCTCGGACGATATGTAATTAACTGACGAATCGTCCTGTCGTTACATCTTGCGCACTGAGTACGAAGCATCGTTTCCTCCATCTATGATCATAAATAAATGCTTATCCACTCACAAAGCATCGTAAGGTAATTTAGTCAACGTCATTCGTATACGAGGTTGGTTCGTCTTAAATGCAATGTGGATGACCCCATATTTGCACTCGAATCTTTTCTGCATCGAAAAGGCAAAACAACGAATAATCAATGTGAGCGGAAGAAGTAATTGACTTTCGGATCCAGAGCGGAAATATCGGCAATATGCATCATCAATACACATCGGATTGCAGTGGTTGCAAAAGAAACTTTGATATTGATTCAAATGTAACCCCTGAAACATGCGCTATATCGATGTAATATGATCATCAAAGCGTAAGACGGATACACGGGAGTAACCCTTAAAGCCGTTGACAATCTGCGTTTAGTTAGTCTAAACACTTTTGACGTTTCCAGTGGCATTTTGAACGAATGATATTTGATTTTACAAACATGATCTTGTGCCAGCATAACGCTTTCCCATATCAATCCCCTCGAATGTTAACAGAACATCGCATTATTTCTATCGTCTGCCGTCACAGCCGAAGTCTTCATTTAAACCAGGGAAGGCTTCTTCTTGATCCCCAATGCAGCAGCATGATCTTTTTTCTTTTTTACAACTCGTTTGAAGCTGGGAGGTGGCATTGCTAATGCCTCTTCTTTAGTAATCTTTGGTGCTGGTCCTGCACCGACATCATCAGCATCATCCTCCATAATCTCTTCCATAGCCTCCTGTCTCCTCATGAACGCCCTTCGAGCAACCTCTTCGTCTTCTCTTTCCTGTCTTTCTCGTTCCGAGTCAACATTTTCTCGCGTTACAGTGACCTCAGTTCCATCCTTTCCGACCCGTTCATTCCTTGCATTTCTTGTGCGGATTTCATCCAATGCATCGGCAACAGCCATTTCTGTTTTTGCTTCTGCTGTTTTATCCTCCAATTCTTGCATGGCATCTCGCTCTTGTTCTTCTCTTTCCAGACGATCCAGTCTCTCCTCATCACTTTCTTGAAGGCCACCTCCATTCACTCGCCACGGTTCGGTGTTTCTTTTCGCACCACGCTCGCACTGATAATCCATGTTTTTGGGATCCGTCTTGAAAGTAATTTCGCCGGAGCATCTTGTACATTTGATGTAAAACCTGTAAATTGAGATAGCCAAGTATTTCTCCTCCGTAGTTTCTTTGCGCGCGTTGAACTTCCGCCCTTTGTAGATATATTCTCCACAAGCCGTACATTTCATGGGAAATGGTGCCATCAAACGGACTGTCTGTACTTTCGGGCCAACTTGTTTGGGAGCGCGCGACTTAACAATCTTCGAAGGATCGAAATCGGGTGGGTAGTATTTGGTGAGAACTTTTCGCTCGGACATCTTGAATTAAGCTGCTGTAAATAATCTGATTGTTATCGTAGTAGGGCAAGTTTTTAGGTGTTCAAAGTGGATGAGGGTGGTTTCGATTCCGAGTTGGCGATGCAATGATGGATGATAGGTGAGAGACGAGACAAGGCGACGAAGTTCTGTATCAAATCGATAGCCCAGTCCAATATATTATGTAAGCCTCTATCGCCTGGCCTCGTGAAAATCATTGATAAAGACCTCAGCCTCGCGTCACCCCACGCGACTGCCTCGCTATGAAAACAAACAATAACCTAATTTTGTACCCCTTCGTAATTGATACCCTTTGACATTGATCATAATAATCTTGGAATTTGATTGTATGGGTACAATTTACGATAAGATATGGAGAAATTCTTGAGAGATTGGCGGCAGGATGCTATGAATAAGCACCAATACGACTCGGCAATATTTATTGGAGATAAATTGCTAGCTATAACAAGTACCACCCCTTCGATACTCCTCTGGTAACTTGTGGGTTCTAACCATCTTATAGAAAGTGATAAAGATGCTTTTTGGCTTGCACAAGTGCATTTCTCCACGGGGAACTATACAAGAGCTCAGAGTTTCCTCACCAAACAAGACTTAATAGCTCGAAATCCATCCTGCCGGTACCTTGCAGGCCATTGTCTGATAAAACAATCGAGATTCGAGGAGGCTTTGAGTATACTCGGCGAGAAGAATCCTACACATTTAATATCAACGGCCGGTCACAACAGAAAAAAGTTACAACATACGAGAGGCCATGCACGAAATGGATCAACGACACAGAGCAGTCGGCATAGACAAGATGAGATGGCAAAAGATGAAGCGGCAAATGTCAAATTCGAAGCTGCAATGTGCTTTCTACGAGGACTTTGCTATGCCAAACAAAATGCTTTCGATAGAGCGAAAGAATGTTACAAAGATGCTGTTCGAATAGATGTACAATGCTTCGAAGCATTCGAGCAGCTTATGAAGAACTGTCTTATGTCACCAGAAGAGGAATGGCAATTTCTAGAATCCCTGGATTTCGATACCATATCCGTTACGGACGATACTTCATCCTCTCAAGAAGCTGCCGAATTTACAAAAATGCTTTATACTACTCGACTTTCGAAATACAAGAACCCAGCGGCGTTTACAACAGCAACAGAAACTCTCTCAACACATTACAACCTTGCTACAAATCCAGATCTTTTATTATCTAAAGCGGACCTGTTTTTTACACAATGCAGGTTTAAGGATGCTCTAGCTATTACAAATTCTATCCTCGAGGAAGACAAATACAATTTTAGTATATACCCTTTGCATTTAGCATGTCTGTACGAATTACAACTGAAGAATGCTCTGTTTCTGGTAAGTCCATGGTCTTCCTTTTTTTAAGAGCATAATTAGATTTCTCGACTTCTTATTCATAACTCCCAATGACGCATCTTTTGGGGATGGACCTAGGATGGCTCAATCTTTTCCGAGGAATTTCTAAGGAAAAGTTATGACACACCATAAATGCTGACATTTTCACTGACAGGTATCACACGATTTGGCGGATAATCATCCAGAAGAGCCCTGTACTTGGCTTGCCGTAGGCATATATTATTTGGCCATAAACAAAGTCGCTGAAGCTCGACGTTATTTCAGTAAAGCCAGTATGATGGATCCTCATTTTGGACCTGCTTGGATTGGATTCGCCCATACTTTCGCAGCAGAAGGAGAACATGATCAAGCAATCTCAGCGTATTCGACAGCGGCAAGACTTTTTATGGGCACTCACTTGCCCCAACTATTTCTAGGCATGCAAAATCACATGCTAAACAACATGACTCTAGCCGATGAGTTCTTGAAAACTGCATATGAACTCTGTAAAACCGATCCATTACTACTGAACGAGATGGGAGTAGTATTCTATCACCAAGAACGACTCGAAGATGCTGTCTTGATATTAAGGAAAGCGCTCGAAATTGCTGAAGAGATTGACAGTGATCCACAAGCTTGGATATCCACTCGCTCAAATCTGGGTCATGCATATCGACGTCTTCATCAATGGGATGCCGCTCTAGCAGAATTTGATGCGGTACTTCGGCAAGGCGGAAAAGATCCAGCTATTTTTTGTGCAAAGGGTTTGGTATTAATGGAGCAGAGGAAACCTTTTGAAGCTGTTTTGATGTTCCACGAAGCACTTGCTATTTCACCTCAAGATGCTATTGCGACCGAATTACTTAATAAGGCCTTGGAGGAAACGGCTATTCATGGTATAAATGGAAGTAGGATTTTTGATGATGAGGAAGATGAAATTGAGAGGGAATTATCGTTGAGGAAAGATGAGGTTTTGGCAGGTTTGAGACCAAGCAGAACGAAAGGGAAGGGGAAGTCGAGGAGCAAAGTGGTGGTGAATGAAGTCAATTCGATGGAGCTTAGTGATGGTGATTAGTATTCTTTCGGTGGATTGGTTAAGGAGCTGGGGTTCTGGGAAAGGTGGAAACGAGGACCGGAGGTCTGAGATGGGAAATTCTCGCTTCTTTACACTGGTTGGAGTTTTGTTTCTCATTTAGGGGCGTATGTTGGTGGGACGGAAGGCAATTGGGACAATAACAGAATAAATGGGTAAAGAGGGGGTAAAAATGCATTCTAAATGGCGTATAGCATTTGAAACTTGATCACCTGTTCGCTGATGAGGGATGGTTGTTGATCAATTTATATATACACTCACATGGGGTATCAGTCAATTCAAGGGTTGTAGTAATATACACGAACCTACAGATAAAAAAGAGTGGGTGATATCCAATTACTTCTCCGCCGAACTCCTAAACCCACGTGCCATGCAACCTGAAGCCCGAATCGCAAATTATAAGTTCGTACTCTCAGTCCTCTGATTTCTTTCATCTTCATCCCATTTTCCCCCCTTGACTCCATATCTCCAACCTAAATACCCCAGGACCCCTATTGCGCTTCCTGCGCTGATACTCCCAACTCTCACCCTCCAATCTACCAGAGACCCAGATTTGAACTTCCAAAGAGCACCAACTATCATACCACCATACATCCAATCGTCAGATTCCATCTGTCCTTTGTTTTCTAAGAGCCGCCAACTGCGATCTTGATATTCAATATCTGTGCGCCCGTACATAAGGACAATTGTTGCGAGGGTGACGAGAGAAGTGACGCCGAGAGTGTTAGTGCCCATGGAGCGGAGATTGAGGAGCTGGGAGGGAAAGGGAGACGGTTGGGAGCGGGGAAGTAGGGAGGCGGGTAAGGGGAGTTTGCGGTAGATAAGAGTGCTGGCGGATATGAAGGGAGTGAGAAAAGCGGCGGTAGGGGGAGCGCGAGTGAGGATGTGGGTCCACAGGATAAGTCCGGAGTGAGGTTGGTCCTCGGCGTAGGGGGGGTGGGGCCAGTAGCGGGACATTTTGAGAGGGGGTTGTGGGGAAACTTGTTGGCGAGAGTGCTGTTTGATAGTAGCTTTTCTCGATGCTTGGGGTCGGAAATCAGAGCTTGGTGAGGTGGTGTTGTATTTGTATTGATTGATTGGTGGGGCGGACTTCAATAACCCTTGCAGTCTTACTTTGTCAGATAGTGGAATTTCGCTAAATGATATGGGAAACGGAGATTTAGAGGAAGGATATCGTCCGGCATGGAGTTTCTTCGGTGCCGATGCTACTTCTGTTATTATTCGCAGAGGTAAATGGAGATTGGAGAGTTGAAGAAATGCGGGTTGGAGATAGTAGATGCGATGAGTTTGTTTTTCCTGGATAGCGAGTATTGTGAATATTGTATACCAAGTATCAAGTAATACCTCTCCTGTTGAATAATGAGGGGTACAGATAAACTTGGTTATACCGGACTAAAATTTTCGATCAATCAAATCCGGTATATCCATGATTCCGGTATAAAAAATGGTGGTTCAAGCTTTCTAACCAAAATTTATATTCGATTTCAACTCCAAACTCTAATATTTTCAAAAAAAATCATGTGATAATAGCCAATAAAGCTTACTCATCCAAAATTTTAGTTTATTCAGTCAAATCTACTACCAAAACTTATACTGGAATTTACTCAATTTAGTTCGGTATATCGGTTTTTATCGAAATTCCGGTATTCCTATATAAATTTAGAAAGAAATGGAAAAAAAGTCCGGTATATCCAAGTTTCCGGTATATCCCAGTCCGGTATAGCCAAGTTTTTCTGTAGATAGTCTGATATCAGCCACGTTATCTTGGTGGTGTGACTTTTTCTTTGTTAGTACCTCTCGGATCTTAGCGACAAGCTTATATAGAAGTCGCTGTGGAAACATATCAGCAGCTTTGAAAGGAACATCTTTATCGTCATGATACAGTAAATCCACTTAAATGACACTTCGTATCTTACTCCAGCCTCATAGAATGAGATCACCCCCTACTCGCTATTCTCGAGTTAATAGATTCATTAAGTGGTAGGTATGAGTTTGATGACGCTATGTTTAGTAGTGAAAATCGAATGTTTATTGCTGGAGCTCTGAGAATCAAACGATGATACGAAAGCGAAATATTTCGTTGGCATATTGTCTGATCTGGGAATGTTGTTGCATATGAGTATAGGTATTAGTGGAGGTAGAGGTAAGATGACAAAAAGAGCCGTGGCTTTGAGAATGTCTCTCCGACCATCCAGCCATCGCTAAATTTTGGATGCGGGAGTAAATCAACCGTCTCGGATTTCAGACTACCGTTGTTAGTTCCAATCCACCGCGTCCATCTTCCCTATACATTGGATGCCATTATGTCAAGAAGAATATGATATATATGTTAAAATTAGAAAGTGTTAGCATCAATCGTCCAGCGGATTGATGCCGCGGTAAATTAACCTTACCCCCGCATCCCGCAATTCGGCACCATCTGGGGAAGATCTTCTCCACATAGATACTTAGTTCCGCGGCTATTAATAGCTAGACAGCAAAGCCTACCTAGCTTTTGAAGACCTCCTCCTTCCTTATCATATCAATTTGCTTCGACATCTAATTGTTCATTTTATCGTTTCGTCAGAGTTTCAGGAGATTGTATACAGACATGAGTACCTTGAGTCTACCCAGAAAGCTCTGGGAGCATCCCAGTCCCAAAAGCACAGCTATGTATAAACTGATGCAGGAAATCAATCAAAAACACAATCTTCAGATCGATGTAATTTAAGCTGCCGGTACCTTTTCCCCGTCTATAACATACTAATTGACAACTCCAGAACTTCTGGGATCTCTGGCGATATTCCACTACCTCCCGAGCTCAGTTCTGGGATCAAGCTTTCCAATACCTCAATCTAATCTATAGCGGCTCTTACACGACCGTTGTTGATGAGAATGCCCCTATAGATTCTATACCGCGTTGGTTCTCGGGTGTATATATGAATTTTGCTGAAAATATCTTGTATTCGCGAGTACCAGGTCATGCATCATCTCAGAGAGGTACAATTGGGAAAGAAGATGATAAGATTGCTCTAACTGAGATTCGAGAGGGAGGAACAGAAATACGTGATATTAGTTGGGGGGAGTTAAGGAAAGGAGTAGCGGAGTTAGCTAGTGCTATGAAGGAGCATGGCGTTGGGATGGGTGATAGAGTGGTAGTGGTGGCTAGCAATTCTTTTGATACCCTGGAGGTTTTTCTGGCTGTAGCATCGCTTGGGGGGTTGTTCAGTAGCAGTTCGACGGATATGGGTGTTCAAGGTGTTTTGCAACGAACTTTACAGGTTGAACCAAAGGTATGTCTGGCATTTTTAACTATAACATGTGACGTGTAAAAAATTAACATTCGTGCAATAGTTTATTTTCATGGATGATTGGGCCGTCTACAATGGCAAGACAGTTGATCTTCGCGAAAAGATGGTCGCAATCGTGCATGGGATGAAAGATGTTAAAGGGTTCAAAGGAATGGTTTCTATGCCTAGATTTCAAACACCCTCGGATATCACCAACATTCCTCGCACCCAAAGTCTATCTACTTACCTCTCGAAATCTACCTCTCACACTCTTACTTTCGCAAAAACAGCTTTCCACGATCCTTTCTTCATTGCGTATTCATCCGGTACCACTGGGACACCAAAATGTATCGTCCATTCCATTGGTGGTGCAGTTCTCAGCGCAGCCAAAGAAGGAATCCTTCATCTAGAAACCGGTCCCCATTGTACCGTCCTTCAATACACAACAACTGGGTGGATCATGTATTTTAGTTCCATCTCCAATCTACTCACCGGATGTCGCCTAGTTCTCTATGATGGAAGTCCCTTTCAACCCGATCTCACTACCTTTGTAAAACTCCTTGGCAAGTTGAAAGTTACGCACTTTGGGACATCTCCCAGGTGGATGGCAGAAATGCAGAAAAATGGGATTGTGCCAAAAGATGTGACGGATCTTTCGAGTTTGCACACGGTGACGAGCACGGGTATGGTGTTGTCGGATCAAATTTTTGAATGGTTCTATGATGTGGGATTTCCAAAAACGGTGCATTTGGCTAATATCTCTGGAGGAACGGATATTGTGAGTTGTCCCGTATTCTTGGTATGTTTATTATGAGTTCGCTGATGATTCAAAAGGCAGGATGTTTTGGTCAAGGGAATCCCCTCACTCCAGTTTATGTTGGAGGCACCCAAGGTCCTAGCTTAGGCACACCCATTGCGGTTTACGATGCTCTCATCGAAAGCGGCCAAGGCGTTCCAGTTGAGCACGGCACGCCCGGTGAACTAGTAGCTCCCCATGCTTTCCCTAACATCCCCGCCTTCTTTTTCCGCGATCCTAGTGGTTCCTTGTACCATTCCTCCTACTTTTCAAAATATACCCACGTCTGGACTCACGGTGATTTCGTGTCTATTCACCCCGTAACTCATAACTTACATTTTCACGGTCGAGCGGATGGTGTCTTGAATCCTAGTGGTGTTCGTTTTGGCAGCGCGGAGATCTATAGTATCATTGAGAAATATTTTGGAAAGGAAGTTCAAGAGAGTTTATGCGTGGGACAGAAAAGAGAAGGGGATGAAGACGAGAGGGTGATGTTATTTTTAGTGATGAGAGAGGGTGAGAAATTTAGCGACAGGTTGAAAGAAAAGGTAAAAGAGGTAATCGGAAGAGAGTTAAGTAAACGACATGTTCCCAAGTGGATTTTCGAAGCCCCAGATATTCCTGTGAGTTCATCTTCTCAAGCCTGGAAAAGATCTCGTACCCTATCTCGTATACTTGAACTAATCTCCGGCTCACCTATCTAGACAACTGTAAATCTGAAGAAAGTCGAACTTCCCGTTAAGCAAATCGTTTCGGGGAAGATCATTAAACCTAGCGGTACGTTGCTGAATCCGGAGAGTTTGAAATTCTTCTATCGGTTTGCGAAGGTGGAAGAGCTTGTTAGAGGAGAGGGAGAGGGGAATAAAGGGGGCGAGGCAAAGAGAGAGAGTAAATTATAGAGAGATAGATTGGAAATTAGAAAGAATGAAGAAAGGACATAGGAGTATAGATTGGAAGATTAGGCAGTTCAAGTAAATTTGATTTCATCCTTTAAGTATTACTTTAACATTTTTACCTTGCGAGTAGTACTTTTAAAGAAGATCGAGCAGTATCTCTTTCAATTGATGGAGGGAAGGCGAGAAACAAAAGTGGATGTGATGTGTTGATGGCTACAAAAAGACATTTTTGTCAGAACAAAACATCAAACTCCCAAACCTTACAGCCCAAGCATCAAAACATAACCCCACGAAAAGAGATACTATTGGATTTAGAACATGGTATTTTCGTACTTAACACCTCTTCTGACCAAATCTACTCATAGGAGTCAAACCCCGGTGGACGTTTATTTCTTTATTAATTTTTTGGAAAGATGAAGAAAACAGGTATTGCCATCTCACCCGCACGCACATCGTCTGAACCTCGAAACCACATCCATGCCCTAAACACACCTACATTTCACGCTGTTACACCATTTTAAAACCCCAACAATTCAAAAAACAAACAAACACACTTTCTACCCCGACCCTGACATCCGGTACCGTCAAAAGTAGAATCAAATAACATTACAACCTCACCCCTGCCCGTCCCGACTATTCCCGCTCCGTAATGGCGCAGAAAATAACATTCGATGATATCAAGCGAGCTCCGAGGTATATCATCAAACTAAGCGATCATTGAGTTCTAGGCGTAGTATCCACGACAATAGTCAGCTCATCCTCCAACTCTTGCGGTTGAGAAGCTTGTTTCTCATCTTGCTGAGCCGGCTTCAGCCGTTTTCTTTCACTCTCACTCGGATTTTCAATATCATGGACTCTTTTAGTCGATGTGACCAATAGCTGATTCAGAAATAAATGCTCAAAGCCCCCCTGAACGTCTTTCAATGGGATACCTTTTCCCCTATTGCAAAACGGTTGGATTTGGGCATACATTTTTAGCAATCCTTCGTAATGTTCTAGATCAAATCCTACGAATTCGAGTACCGTCCAGCTCGTTCGAATAACACCCTTTTTGAATGCTGTGACTATTTTACTCAGTCCAATACTCGTGGTGGCCGCATCAGCACCAGTCTCTTTCTGAAACCATTCTATAAATCTATGTTCGTTAGATTCATCTTTGGACAAGTATTCTCTGAATTCAAGTCCGAAAAGATTTTCGGAACAATGATTCACATGTTGTTTGGTCACCGTGTAGTTTCCAACATACATCGCATGGCCTTGAACCGTATTAAGAAATGTCGGGTATCCCTCTGTTGGTATAGACTCAATACCAAAAGAATTATCGTCGAGACCGTGAATGAGTAAAAGAGCACCATGTTGCCCCATGATTGGACGTTGCCCGAAATACACCCCAGGTTGTGAATCACTGTGTATTTTGAGAATCCGATTTCGATACATGTCGTGTGGTGGCCCAATATCCATTGCGAGTTCCATGTTATTCCAAAAATCGGCACCACCGCCATAGACTTGCTTAAGAAATGTATGATTAAATAAGGACAATTTGGAAGGGAGAATCTTGCAACCGAGAGATTGAGGTAATAGCGCTATCTCGTATTCCACGTTGAAAGACTTGACGACTTTGGGAGCGAGAGTTGCTTGAACAGGAGGATGTTTGGGTCGATCAGGTGCTTTGATCCCAAGCTCTGTAGGCTTTGCTACAATTCTCTCGTGCAACTTCTGTTCTTTATCTTTACTTTGCAAGCTTGGTAACTCCTGCCCAACAATTGCAGTAGCACTCAAGACCTGCGACGTTCCCTTGTTTACCTGAGTGCTCTGGCCATCTTTTAGTCCTCGATTGTACTCAATTTCACGGACTAATAGAATGTGTTGAAGGTGGGCTTGCTTGATACCCGTAAACACATCTGGTTGACTGAATTCGTTGTCCTGGAGAGCCACTTTTTGATAGACAAGTTCTCCTGATGTTTGGGCATTCATCGTTCCGAGTTCTTTCCCCGCGCATAATTGTGAAACATCCTCCTTAAACTCTTTTTTCTCATATTCAAGCTCAAGTCGCTGTGCGGTAATGTCCTTAAGCATTGTGTTCAATATGCCTAAGTTCCAAACCATGGCTTCATGCTTAGCGTCGCATTTCTCTTTCCATCTTTTTGCATTGGCCTCCGCTTCATATTTTTCTTTGGTCGTATTTTCAATGCGCTGACACAAGTCCTGGTTAGCCAAGAACAAATCCCTTTGACTTGAATTGCATTCGTCAAGCTCCCTGCGTAACACTTCTACCCTTGCTTGAAGAGCCGAATGTGCCGTCGCAACTTTTTCTTTCTCATCATTGGCTGTACGAAAGATGGTCCAATTATTTGCGAGTTCATCAGAGACTTTCGACATTTCTAAGTTTAGCGCAGTAATTTGGACAGTATGTTGCTCCTCAAGGAACTTTTTCGTCTCCAATATACGTCGACTGAGTAGTTCTTCATACAATTTTTTGGAAACATCGACAAGTTTCTTGCCAATACCTTGGGTGGTCTGGCTTTCTATTGGCATGGTATTCTCTATTGCGAGTGTTTTCTTGGAGACAGACAAATCCTGACTTGTCCTGCTTATTCCGATATTGTTGTTACCTATCTCGAAATCTATCCTCAGGTTAAAAAAGTCTCTATTCATCCAAAAATTTAAAAATTTCATACCTCTGCAAGTACTATCAATTGGCTCCAATTTCAGCATCCCTTTCTCTATTAAGTTGTCGCATTCGAGCAATCTTTTTTTTGACCAGAATTTTGATCCGATACTTCTGTCCACATCTTGTAAAGCCTTGACAAGGTTCGGGGTGAAAAGACAGCTTTCAAATGCCCATCTCCATCCAGAAAGCTTAGGCCCTCGCAAGAAGAGTTCCTTTACATCATTTATCGATAAGCGCTTTCTGGTGTTCAAATCTTCGTATAGTTAGCAGCAGCAGGATATAGAGGACAATCTATTCGGATATACCTGTCGTGCATGAGAGCTTAGAGAATATGGAACTTCGCAAGCATCGAAGCACCCACTCAGGATCGGGTAACAACTCGACACGCAGTTTGACACCATCCAATGCCATATGGCACTCAGAAATCTCTGAAGGAGTCCATTCCTCGATATTGGAATTCGGAAACTGGTAACAAGAAAACTTCCATTCGAGAAAAGAAGGTGGGTTCCGGGGATCAAACTGGTCCGTTGATCGCAGTAGACGCTTACCACAAGCTCTCTCTATGTAATCGCAATTAGTGACTTTTTAGAAATAGAAAAGAAACAGTATCAACTGAGATAATATATAGTACGATTCTGGGGATAGCAGGCAAGCGTCTTACATAAGGTGTGTAACAATCGATCGTGTATACCACGAAAGTTGTAATCAAATCGAGGGCCACAAAAACCAAAGCCGTTTTCGTAGTCCTGGTATTGAAGAGAATTAAGGCATTTCACTCTGACCGTTCTAGTGTTCTTCAGCCAACTCAAATTAAAATTCTCGTACTTCAACTTCTTTTCTAATCTTTCTAATGCGCTCGTTGGCCATCCATTCAGAGGCGGTAATACCAATGAGTGGTTGATTGGAATCCAGACCAACTCCCTCCCTGGATCAGCTGGATCTGAAAGTTCCCACAAACACCCACTCATATCCTCGCCATATTCATCATAGAATTCCTTGATGGCTTTCACTAAGAGTGTAATCTTTTAGATTGGAGAGTCAACAAAGAGAGGGGTATGATAAACACTTACTTTTTAAAGTATGTAATTGCTCATGAACTTTGATTACCAATCTCCCGATTTGGAGACTCTTCATCTCCTCTTCTGACTGAACGTTTGGATGTAGCTGGGACATCGTGATCGCATCGAATAATGACGATGGTTGGAATAATCATCGCCTTTTGAGCATAATAGACACGTCTAACCACAAGAAAGATTGCAAATCTGGCACAAACGACAGCGTGAGGATGGACTTTTAGGTCACTGTATACACCCTAATGCTGCTTCCCGTGAAACCCTTGGCGAGATACCTGAATGGTTATATCAGATTTTCTTTTTCGACACTCGGTGAGAGTTTGGAAACCACCTCGTAAGCTCCAATGGGCTTTTCAGAGGTAAAGACATTTGATTTGTCACTGAAGATATTCAACAAACAATGCCTCAATCCGCTGAATCAATTTCCTCGGCGACTCCAACAGGTATCTGTGGCAGAAGACTGCGCCTCCCATACCGACAGTAGGTAACCTTGGAAAGCAAACACTCTGTCTTTCAAATTAGGCAAACGAGATTAAATTGCTGTGGCTACCCGAACGAATTGGAAGGAGTCCATGAAAATTTTCAAGAAATTGCAGCAGAATCATATTGGTATTGATTCCAGAACTCGGAAGTCATGATCTGGATTTCACTGGATAGCAATGGCAACTTGCATTATGCATTTTGTGCTGATGCCATATATGCATGATAAATGCATCGTATCAAGAGCCAGGCTTGTGATGAATGCAATTCAATCATCAGATGAAGAAACAACCAACAAACAGATGTGGTTCCCGCTGTGTAAAGCAGCAGTAAGAAATATCACGTGAAAGACTAGTAAGGATAAACGCGGGGGATTTGCCAAGGGCTGACAGTTCGGGGTTCGGCAGAAATCATACCGGATTTCAAGAGTAGATATATCATGAGTGGGAGGCGTGAGAATTGTCAAGTCCAGAGAGTTCAAACCCAATTGACTTCAATACAATCGAGACAAAAATGCCGCAAGAAATCTACAATGTTTCCTCGAGCGATGTTCGAAAGGCCATCGACTCCTTGATTTTTCAAATGGTTCATATCAAGGACGAATCTGGGAAATTTCTATTGAAATTGGAAGATGGCAGAGTCATAGATACCAAAGGATGGCAAGGATGGGAGTGGACACATGGTATTGGACTTTATGGTCTTTGGAAAGATCACTGCCTCACCGGTTCTCAAGACTCCTTGGAGATTATCGAAAAGTGGTTTCAAAATCGTTTCGATGAAGGGGGGACTACCAAGAATATCAACACAGTAGCCGCGATGTTGACGCTAGCATACTTGTATGAAGAGAAGAAGGTCAATAAGTTCTTGCCGTGGTTGGAAAACTGGGCAGAATGGGCAATGTATGAGCTTCCACGAACAAAATATGGTGGAATGTCACACATGACATACAACTCGACCAACGCTCAAGAATTGTGGGACGATACCCTAATGATGACGGTTCTTCCATTAGCGAAGATTGGGAAAGTCTTAAATCGACCTCATTATGTGGAGGAAGCGAAGAGACAGTTTCTCCTCCATATCAAATATCTATTTGACACCAAGACTGGGTTATTCTTTCATGGATGGACCTTTGCAGACGGAGGACATAACTTTGCAAAAGCATTATGGGCGAGAGGTAACTCTTGGTTAACAATTGTCATTCCAGAAATGTTGGAATTGCTCGATTTGCCAACCAATGATTCATTCCGTATTCATCTCATCGATACTCTGGAAGCGCAGTGTCAAGCATTGGTTCAATATCAAGAAGACGATGGTTTATGGCGTACCCTTCTGGATCAATCTGCAGATACAGGATCTTATATTGAAAGTTCTGCAACAGCTGGATTTGCATATGGTATATTGAAAGCATTAAGAATGCGATATATAGAAGGGGAGGAATATCAGAATTGTGCGATTAAAGCCATAAAAGCTGTGTTGGGGAAAGTTAATGATCAAGGAGAATTACTTGATGTCAGTTTTGGGACAGCGATGGGTCATACCTTACAGCATTACATTGATATTGATAGGACAAGTATGCCATACGGTCAGGCTATGGCGATAATAGCATTAGGAGAATTTTCGAGGGTTTTTATTTGATTACCATTAATTTATCTCATTCTCATCCATCGGGTATAAATTCTTGTAGAAATGTAGAAAGTCACAGAGAAAATGGAAATGTGATCCGTGTCACCCTCTAGGTATAGTTTAGCGTGTACGCGTATGAAACCTTAGCATGTGCTTACATTTTTATCCATATATCTATCGTCCATGTGATAAATACAACCACCAAGCCGAAAGATTGAACATTGAACATTGAACATTATACTTCCGAGGCAATTCTCATCCATCAACAGGGAGAGTCTAGCACATAGCAATCTTTGCTTTTACACATGCCTCTTAATGCATGACTGACATCCATCGGCTTCAGTACGCCCTGCAGAAAGCCTTGCAAAGGTTCCATTTGTCGAAAAGGAATACCTAGGTACGACCTTCTTCTGGAGCAATTCTGATTTGATCATGTGTCTTTATCAGATAGACTTGCTCGTCCGTCGTGGCGCGATTCGAGCTTGCGCGTAAGACGGTATCATTGATTCAGAAAAGCTAATATTTTCTGAAACATGCAACGCTGGCTTTTGGCTAAGCTTTTCCGGCAGGTGTCATTGAGACAGATCGAAATTCGGAATTATTAGCCGTGGCATGAAGGAGCAGGAACAGAATGTGCGGTTTGAAAAGGCCCGAGATTTTCAACAAGGCTCTTTTACCCCCCTTTTACCCCGCAAATGAGAATCGTTATTTGAATGTTTCTTGGGTCGGAAAAACTATCATCCCATTTTATCCCATCTCGCCTCATCTTATAATATCCACAATGCAGGTCCCAACATGCCCCCTAAACAAGTATGCCACCTCATATCCGAATAGAGTAGGTCTCTACGATAGGAGTTGTATGGAGGCCTTCTTGATCCAATCATCTTGTTCGATCATGAGCTGACAGGCCTGGGATGGTACATACCTTGTACTACTATCACCAGATGGCGAATGTAACCTTCGAATTTGAGGTCGAGTGCCGTGTTCAGGAAGACCTCAAGATTAGAGTCAGATTGTTATTCCCCGATAGAATCCTTTTCCTGAATTTAACTGCTTGTTCACTGTCGATCTGTTCCTTTCATCTCCTCTGCAAGGCAGGCATCAAACTATCAATGAGTTTTGAAGACAAAAAAGAAATGAATTTTCCAAATAATGAGACTTCACGGACAGAAGTGTTATTTCATGAAGGCATGTGCCTTCTTTCTTCCTCGGTTTCTTCCATCAATCTCTTCTTTAACCCCACGATCTTCCCCACACTCATCTCCGGTATTAGCTGATTTTCCCTTGTCACTATGCTCAGGAGATCGAAAAATCATGTTTGCTACCGCTACATGTGCCATGTATTGAATGGACCTTGTGCTGGTTGTTGCAGCCCTCGAAGTAAATATCCAGGGGCGAACCGAGTATTTTGGCATCAATTTTTGTTCTATGCTTCCAGGCCATCAATCCGATGATGAAACCTACCTGAGTGCTCATAGTACCAATTTTCTCCTATATAAAAGCTTCATTTGCTACTTTGCTACATTCCATTCTTTTGTACAACCAACCATCACTCCTTTTGTATATACCATCTTTTAAATATGATTTCCTTCCCTTCATTTTGGATCATCTTTGGTCTCATTTCTTCATGTCTCGGTCAAGCCTATTGGTATGAGACAATTGCCCATCAGGGAGTCGCTCCTTATAATCCCCAAGGGACTGCATATCAAGTGTTCAGAAATGTGAAGGAATTTGGAGCCACAGGTATATACTCGTAGCATCTTTAGATGTCAAATTACTAACCAATCACCAAGGCAACGGTGTAACCGATGATACAGCTGCGATTAATGCAGCAATTGCGTATGGATCTCGCTGTGTCGAAGGAGTTCCAGGAGTTGGATGTGCATCTGCCACTAACTCCCCAGCCGTGGTGTACTTTCCTGCTGGAACTTACTTGATTTCATCTCCCATTCTTCCCTACTATATGACTCAATTGATTGGAAATCCAAATGCCTTACCAACAATCAAAGCCACTGCTGGTTTTGTAGGTCTAGCACTTATTGATGCCGACCCTTATGGATCATCTGTACCAGATTATGGAACTACGAATGTATTTTATCGTCAAGTACGAAATTTTATTATTGACACTACAAATATGCCCGCTACTTCGTTGGCACGAGGTATTCACTGGCCAACATCTCAAGCTACTAGTCTCCAAAATATGGTTTTTAATCTCAATAAAGCGAGTGGTACTTTGCATCAAGGAGTTTTCATAGAAAATGGCAGGTGCCTATTTTCGTTTCCAAGATACATATCACTAACAGAATACTATAGGTTCTGGTGGTTATTTGGATGATCTCATCTTCAATGGTGGTCAATATGGCATGAGTGTTGGATCGCAGCAATTTACCTCGCGAAATTTAACATTCAATAAGTAAGAATCTCGCTTCCCGAGGTACTACCAAACTAACTACCATAGTTGCGGGACCGCTATATATCAACTTTGGGGTAATTTCCCTTTCATCTTACTCTAATTATAATACTGACAATTTTAGATTGGGGATGGACATATATGGGATTATCAATCAACAACTGTGGTGTAGGTCTCGATATGTCTGATGGAGGCTCTACAGCACAACAAGTTGGATCAGTAACTGTCATCGACAGTACTTTCTCTAATACTCCTATTGGTATCCTTACTGCTCGAAGCAGTACATCACTTCCTCTTACCGCTGGAAGTCTAGCCATCGAAAATGTGGTTTTCACCAATGTTCCAACCGCTGTACAAGGTGCAAATGGTGTATCTTTAGCAGGAAGCACCGGTTCCATGACAGTCGCTGCTTGGGTGCAAGGTAATACCTATAGCCCTACAGGTCCCACTTCAACTCAAGGTGCAACATCTGCTTTCCCTCGTCCAGCATCATTGCTCAGTGGTACAAGATATTATACTCGATCTAAACCTCAATACAACACTCTTGCAGTCACTCAATTTGCTAGTGTTCGTACAGCCGGAGCTAAAGGCGATGGGATAACGGATGATTCAGCTGCTATCCAAGCAATCATCACTTCTGCAACTGCCGCTGGTAAAGTGGTATACTTCGACTCTGGTATTTATAAAGTAACCACCACAATTTCTATTCCAGCAGGTGCTCGAATGGTCGGAGAGACTTATCCCGTAATAATGGGATCTGGATCCTTCTTCGCCAATATGGCTGCTCCTCAACCAGTTATACGAATCGGATCCACAAGTGGCGAAACCGGTATTGTAGAATGGTCAGATATGATTGTATCAACGCAAGGCGCCACAGCAGGAGCAACACTCATCCAATGGAATCTCGCATCTCCATCTACCACACCTTCTGGAATATGGGATGTGCATACCCGAATTGGTGGGTTTGATGGTAGTAATTTACAGGTTGCTCAATGTCCTACGACAGGTACCCAACCGAATACTAATTGCATCGCTGCATTTATGAGTATGCAAATCACTAGTATCGCAAGTGGATTGTATATGGAAAATGTATGGTTGTGGACTGCAGATCATGATATTGATGATGTGATTGATACTCAAATCTCTGTCTATAGTGGCAGAGGATTATCGGTCGAGAGTACTACTGGAAATTTTTGGTTGTATGTATTTCCCCCCTTGTCTTTATTGCAGAATCACTAAGAATCATCTAGGATTGGAACAGCTGTGGAACATCACGCGCTTTATCAATACCAATTCGCCAACACTCAAAATGTATTTATGGGATATATCCAGACGGAAACCCCGTAAGTGTCCTCTCCAATTCCAAGCCATCTTTCAATACCCTTTCCACTTTCCCATTATTCGCCCCTTTTCACTCCTTCTAATCCTCTAATACCCCTTCCCTTTCTACCAACCTCTACTTCACAACCACCCTAACAACCAAAAGTTACTACCAACCCGTCCCCCAAGCAACCTCGCCCTTCCCCCCAGTCACCACCCTCAACGACCCCGATTTCAGCACCTTCTGCGCCGGTAAATCTGCTACATGTTATGACGCATGGGGATTACGCATTTTAGATTCCCAGAAAATTCTCGTCTACGGCGCTGGTTTTTACAGTTTCTTCAACAATTATAGTCTTAGTAAATTTTCCCCCCCTCCACCGATTATCTTCCATCCCCGTTCTATCTCTTCTCTCCATCCCTCAAACTAACAATCCCCACAGCATGCTCCAACCACACCAGCACAACATACAACAGTAACTGCCAGACCCAAGTTTTCGGTATCGATGAAGGCGGGTCCGCGACGGAAGCATATGCAGGTTCGACGGTGTATGTATATGGATTGAATACGTTGGGGGTGGAAAGTATGATTGATATGGATGGGAAGAGTGTAGCGAGTTATACTGCGAATGAGAATGTTTATGGGGCGAATGTGGTGAGGTTTGTTAGTTAGTTGGGGGCGGTGTTGGGGAAAGAGGAAGGGAAAGAGGATGAAGGTATATTTTAGGATGAAGAAACGTACTAGAATATTTTGTATATATAATACATTTCCATTCAATCACTAATTAGGTTCCAAAACAAGATATCATCTCGCTTGTACCCGAATCTTCGGAAACATGAATCTAAAATCATCAAATTATCATTCGCAAATAATAATTCACAATCAAATTAACAGCAAGTAATTGTCATTCAATACAATGAACTTCACTCTAATTCATCATCTCCAAAAACTTTTGATGGTATATTGAGAAATTCGAATGTGGTTGATGAACATTGGTGATAGAAATCGATACGGCCGGAGAAATGATACACAGAGCTCGCTACTTGAGCAGAATTAAGGGAGAGGACTGGTAATGATTTATCTCAAGAGTAATAACCAGAAACAGAAAAGTGAATCAAATGAACGAATACAATCGAGAAGAAGAGTTTTCAAACCCCAAAATCAATTACAATAATCATACTAGCAAAGTTCTGTACATACAATAAGAATACCTAACATCATTTCTCAATACCACAATTTTCCAGAACTACCATACAAACCCCCGTGTAACAAGATTTACCCGCCCACGCACCCTTCTACCCTCCCCACAACCCCCTAGAACCTCTCCCTCCTCCTCCTCCTCTCCCACTCCGTATTCACCCTGGTTATCCTCGCCGCCTCCTCCACCGCCTTCTCATCTCCCCCCTTCATCCTCCTCCCCTCAAGCCACTGTATCCACCCCTGAAAAGTACTCCCCCACAACACCGTACACTTCTCCATCATAATTCTCAACCACAGCAACTTCTCCTCCACCACTCGATTTCTCTCTTCCCAATCCTTCTCCATCCACTCATCACTACACACCACCGCCAGAGTCATGCACACAAAGCGACAATAAAACGATATCGATGACGAACCCTGATGATTCATCATCCTATTTGTTGCCAAAGCACGGCATCCATTCAAGTTGGGCTCCAACGCTGCATTGTAGAGATGATACATGAAATCCAATTCTGCCAGTTCTCCTGCAAAGAAATCCTCGGGCCAGAGTTTCAATTCTGCGATTCCCTCGGGCTTAAATTCATGTCCAATTGTCCAAGTTGGTAATGGGGGGAAGATTTTCAACCGCACATCTTCGAGCTGGGCAAGGAACCCGGCGAGTTGTTCAAGAGTTGCGATTAGATTTTCATCTTTATTTGGTGTTTCGTCCACTCCGGTAATTATATCATTGAGCAATCTACGAGTACCGACATTCCAACGAAAAAGTGTGGCGCGGCGATCTCGAAATTTTCCATGCCTAAATGCTTCCGAGTCTTCTAGGAGAGCGAAAGTTTCCTTGTGGGCTACTACTGCTTGCTCGAGCTTTGGGATAAGCAGTAAAGCTATCTCACCACGTTGTCCTGAATCAGCAGCAATCGATGGTTTTCGCAGCTCGATGCAAGCTTCACGTATCGCGGAGAGCTTTTTTTCTTGCTCCTGAGTGAATTCATAGAACTCTTCTTCTTTTGATGCACATGCCATTATATCATCTAAGACTTCGAATGCTGTCTTTCTTGAAGGTGAAAGTTGTTTTAATTGGTACGCCGCGACCGATTTGGCTAATTCTTGTCTCATAGCTTCTTGTCTCCCTTCATGGATCCTAAATCTAGCTATCTTCATCGTCGAACTTTCAGGAACACCGTATTCATCTTGGTTTTCCCATAGCGACATGGTTAGCGATCCCCACCCATGTTTTATTGACCGAGCATGAATTGCGGAGAAGCCAAACTTCAAGTTGTAGAAGTTAGTAAAGTCTTGAATCTATTCGGTGGTAAGATTAGAGGTGGGTAGTAGAACTTACCCGCCGAATAACAGTATTCCAAAAGCTCAGTTTTCTCAGATCCTCTAAAGTTTGAATCGGGATAAAGTAAAGATATGACACATCATTATAGTCCGCAGCCGCATCTCTAACAATGGTTGTCGGGGTTCGCTGGCTTATGTGACACCAAGAGGGATAACTGGAACACATCCTATATGCAAGTGGAGCTGCAGGTGCCTTGAAGACTGGTTCGATGATACCACCAAAAACCTGATATTGATTAGCCAAGTATTTCAATATTTATCCAAGTTCGCATAAATCACGCTATTTTCCATTTCAAACCCCAATTCGGACTGAGGTGAATCCTCGAAATATGGTTCGTACCCATCGCCGCGCATCCTGATATTCGGGTCGTCGAGAAAGTCAAAACCAATCGCATGTGTTAACTCGTGAATCATTACAATTGCTAAGTAATATTGGGCACCAGCTTTCTCTGCAGAGGTCAAATCGTTCCTCAATAGTATATCACAGAGCTTCATGTCCAAGAATATCCAAATGACTGATCTGTCATCACTATCCCAACCTAAGTGAGTCATACCAAGACAATTACTCTTTTGAGGAGCTTCATCCCATGGCATACGGAGACCCGAGGCAAACCCCCACATCAGTCTTTTTTGTAACGCTTTTAAACATTTAGTAAAAGCTTTTTCACATTCTTCAGAATTATTTGCCGTCCTAGTTTCTTGATCTCTGCGCCAGAATGTATAAACTCCCTCCGGAAACCTAGTTGTTGAAGTACGTTGATCTACCGGTATTCGAGGTCCTAAGAGCATTGCATCCAACTAAGAAATAAGTCAATCAAATATCTTCACAAGATCTACCTAATAAAGTCGTGGGAGAGGGGATATACAAATGGTAAAGTATGCATTTCAGCAAGAAATGCACTTGCTAATGTGAGAACTGGCTTCATTTCCTTCAAAATATAAGGGTTATCCATGATGTAATGACCACCTTCCATCTCTTCGGGCGTTTGTAGAATCCATTCCCGTTCTCTCTGCCCAACTTTCTCCCACATGTTTTGTGCGAATATAGGATTAATTGGAATTGAATCAAGATCTGATTCTTCCAGAACTCTACCACTAACTATATCAAAATCGACAAGCTCCCGTATCGTGAATTCGCGGAGTTTCGTTCTTTGGAATTCCTCGATGCGTTTTTCCTCTTCGATCTTTCTTAAATTGCCACTAGGGTGAAGGTAGCCTGTGGGAGACCACCCGCTGGCTGCAGAAGCATAACCATGTGGATGGACATAAACTCGCTTCTCTCCATATTTGGTCCGACTAACATTGAAGATTGTATTTGTCGCTTGTCCAAATTTTATTGTTGGCATTGTCGGCACATTTGAGAATGTTGAAGTTACTAAGGAGGGGTCAAAAATTCTTGTGAATTGATAATTTTGTTTCCTGGATGTACATTATGAAAAGCCTTTGTCAAATATTATGAAAAGTTAACGCAACAACAAAGAGAAGCAATCCACGATAAAGATGTCCTTTGAAGGACTGGCCGTGAAGGAGTCCCAGGTCAATGATACGAGAATGAGAACGTTTCTTTCAGGTATAGAAAGAAACGGAGGACTTTGATGTAGCTTCACTGGAAGTATAGTGTATTTCATCAAGACCGAGTCATTTACACTTCTCTGGTAAGGAATATCTTACTATATCAATAGCATGAAACTTCATTACTTGGTTTCTGCATAGGCAAGATGTTTTTCTCAAAGAAATTGGTCCGAGATACACAAGAGATTTCAAGTATGAAAAGAATGGCATCTTGCAATAAATTTCGAAGAGCCAACTCGATTTTGATGATTTTTTCTAAGTCTTGATATAAAATCTAAGTGCTAGGATTTGGCATGCTGGTAGGCACTGATAACTCTTAACAAAGATACAAAGATACAGAGAAACAAAGATACAATGTTCAGAGCATTTGAGGGTCTCAACAGAGGAGACACTATATTGAAGTAAGTGATAAGACAACAGTAGTTTTGGTTGTTCTTGTGAGAATCATTGACATGAATGTGTGTTTATGATATGTCAAGGTGTGGTAAGATTTACCTGAGTGATATCGTAGAGGGAGAGGGAAGCTTGGACCATCATAATTCATGACAGGGGTCTCATTAGTGCAGTTTAAAGAGCTTTTTATGGCTGGGATATCCTCGGAAAAACTTTGTTTAGGAACAACAATAATCCGAACTACCCCCATCAATACTGCAACAAGATGGGTTCCAAGCCTACTAAAGAGAGCAGTCAGCCTCCAATTACTGCACCTCTTCCACTTCCACCTCCAACCCCACCACCTGCTCATCCTCAATTCAAATTGATCATCACTCCCCCTCCAATCGAAATCTCACCACGAAGATCTTCTGCATTCTCCTTGAACTCTTTTGAACTATTTAAAGAACAGAAGTTCTTCAGACACACAATCGGTCTTGAAAGATTTAATCAACCTTACACTACCAAATTCCCATATCTGAACATTGGAAACCATTCCTACCAAGAAGATCCTCCCCAGAAGTAATCAAGCTTTACCACCGCAACAATGCTCATCAAGTATGTCTTGTCATATCTCTCTCATATCCTCCTCTCGATATCTGCAAAGCTTCCATACTAATAATTCGCAGAGTCCGAACTCTCACTGGCAAGGAAATCGAGCTCGATGTCGAAGCTGACAACAAGGTATGTTTGTCGCAACAGTTCCATATTCTTCCTTTACAACGCCAACTAACATTCCAATCACAGATCGAGAGAGTTAAGGAAAAGGTCGAGGAGAAGGAAGGCATTCCACCCGTTCAACAGCGTTTAATTTATGGCGGCAAGCAAATGTACGTTCAGTGTCATTTCTTCCCCTCTCCTCCCCCCCATCTCCAACCTCCCAACTAACACCTCCCCCCAGGGCCGACGACAAGCTAGTAAAAGACTACGAACTCGAACCTGGAGCGACACTGCATTTAGTTCTCGCACTCCGCGGCGGCATTTAAAATCCTCTCATGTCATTTTCCTCTCAACTTTCGACCGCGTTGCTGCCTACCGAAATACCCCGTACCTCCTTCTTCATGACTTTTACGCATTCGAGCAAGTTTTCATTGGTTACGTCTCTTTTTCCCCCCTTTTCACGACAC